TCTCGACGTTTCTAAAGCAAATGAAATTTGGTGTTGACTGGTTCAAACGTTAAGTCATCATGCATTGAACCACCCAACCAGTGATACTAACAATATTAAATACAAGTCGGGATTACGTCTTAAATCTGACTTGATGTTTCCTTTGGTCACATCTTTAGTCCATTAATAGATAACAGTTGGAAGCATCAAGGAATGATCAGACACAATGTTTAGTCTCATACACTAAAAAATTGCTAATGGCTAATTTCCTGTGTTCGACTCCTAAGTGCGGGATCGGGGATGCGCACTGCTGGAGCTATGTCAGCTCTTCTCCTGCTTCTCACGTCTTCCATTGACCTTCTGAATTTTTAACTGATGCAAATATGATCAATCTGGTTTTCTGTAGTGTGATCCGATGAAATCTATGTAGCTTTATGTATGCGTTTGTGTGGGAATATTGTGCAGCCTATAACCATTTTGTTGAATACACATAAATTTGCAAAGAAAGTACATTGAACACCTGATAATAACTTACAGACAATGATTTGTTGCTTGGATACTCAGAAACCATATGTATATCCATATTCTCGACCATAAGTCATACTCTCCGTGTGTATTAGCTGAAGATGCTACACAGATTTTTATGTTATAGAAGGCTAAAAGAGATTAGGACGTGGCATATACTGGTTGAAAGTCTAGTAATTTAACTGTTCAACCACCACGTGACATAATTCACGAGTCGTAACAACAAAAATATTACAAATATACTATACACTCATTGTTTAGCATGGTAAATGTCAGGAGATTTAGTTTTTGCATACGATGGATTGAATTATTCTTTGAATTCAAAATTGATCTTGAAAACTGAAGATAGAGACGGCCTGTTAGCAATGAAATTTTACACGGCCGAATAAAACTGAACTAGAAGCAAAATTCGGTACTAGACCAATACTTAATTAAGTTCAGTACATTTTTATTTCTTATTTTTATCTTTAAGATAAATATCTTATTTTAAATAAACAATTACCGATCAGTCATATTATGCTTACACTAGTCAACTGATAAATAGTAATTAATTTTGTATAGTCCAGTTCTTAGTAGTAAACAAAGTAACAATGTACTCATCAGGCTGTCATTGGATATCATCATATTAAAAACTGAAAGCAGTCAAATAGAACCCCTTGTCCTTTATTTTATGTTGATTGAAACTCATCAACAATGCATATATTCTGCATTTACGAAATCGATGGACAGTGTGAAATTCGAACTAACAACTCAGATATTATCATCCAGCAGTTCCAGATATCGTGTATATATGTGAGCTTGGGAAATTGGATAGAATGTAAATGTCACCAAGTGTAAATAAATAAACTATTCTAGTGAACGAGAACACAATTGGGGACAATCGAATGTGTCTGAACATAAAATTACAGAATATCTTAGTAAAACCTGAGAACCATACAGTAAATACTTCATTTACAAAGTGTCAATCAATCGTTACAGACTTCATTGTTCTTTCATTCTCGTTCTCTTTTCTTTGAACTTGCACCATTCCAACTGGTTGTCTTCAACGTTCGCACACTAGTGCAGACCGGACAACAGATAGGGCTGGCTATGTCTTTAGAAAATCTTAATATCGACGTTTGTTGTCTATCCGAGACCCGTATTCAAGACTCTGGTGAAGTACTACAAATTCGATGAGTTTTACCAACAGTTATCTGTTCTTCTCCAGAAAGTGCGTTCGACAGATATTGTAGTACTAGCCGGAGACTTGGATGCTCAGGTCGGGCGTCTAGGAACAGAAGAGAGCCGTTTAGGTGGCCGATGGGGACTTGTTGGTCTCAGGACAGATAACGGAGACCGTCAACTGCAACTGTGCACAGACCACAATCTGTTTTTAGCTAGCACTAACTTTCGGCACAGCCATCGCCGATGTGCCACCTGGCGTCCTCCCTCAGCATCTCAAGCCTGGACTCAGATTGATCACATCGCGATCAGCTACCGCTGGCGTGGTTGTGTACAAGACTGCCGCCCCTTTTGGAGTACCTATCTGGACTTTGATCATGCCCTGGTCTGCGCCAATCCCACCTTACTTCTCAGTGGCCAACGAAGTGATCGTCACCAAAGGATTGATGTCAGCAAATTGGTTGCAACTTTTGTTGCAAGTAAGTATCGAACCGAGCTAGTTTCTAGGCTAGCTACCATTCCACCGAAAAGTATAGATAAGCATTGGTTGCAGCATCATGACGCCATGAAAATGGCGTCGTCCATCGACGTCTTGGACGATGGGCAGAACTCTTCAAAGGGCAGTTCAACGGGCCTGCCGCTCCGGCAAAAGCGGTCAGACTGTCCTGCCCTCCATGGCCGGTGACGACTGATCCACTAAATGAGGCGGAAGTCCGCAAGGAACTCCAGCTCTTGAAGCGCTACAAATCACCGGGCCCAGATGACTTACCCCCGTCTCTTTTTAAAGATGATGGTGACTTTATGGCTAAGGAACTGACAAATTTGTTTACAAAGGTCTGGGAACTAGAGAGTGTACCAACGTCATGGAATGAGTCGATAGTTGTCCCTATCTTTAATAAGGGTTTACGTCGTTCCTGTAACAAATATCGGGGGATAAGTCTACTTCCGATTGCATTCAAACTGTTGGCTTCAGTCATACCTCGTAGATTGTTCAAAACTCCAGAAAGCTTGACTCGCGAGGATTAGGCTGGTTTTAACTATGGTCGCGGATGTAATGATCATATCCTCACCCTCCATCAAATGGTAGAACACCGTCATACTTATCACAGGCCAACAATCATAGTGTTTCTTCACATCACGGCTGCCTTCGATTCGTCGGACAAGACAGTTCTCTGGAATTGTCTATTTAAGAAGGATGTGTCTGAGAAGTTTATTAACATTTTGAAAGCCCTAAATACAAACACCTCAGGCAGAGTCAGGACATACAACCACCTCTCTCCATTGTTCCATTCGAGCAGTGGGGTTAGGCAGCGTTGCCTAATCTCACCATTCCTCTCCAACTTCGCCATCAACGACGTTCTGGAAACAGCTCTAATGGATGTAGGTAATGGTGATGTGGATCTGTTGCCTGGATCAACTTTCCGGCCTTGAGTATGCGGATTATATTGTCTTACTGTGCGACGATACCCAAGCTATTCAATCCACACTTAATCAGTTGACAATCAACATTCGTAGGTATGGCATAGAGTCTACACCTTCAAAGTGCAAAGTGCTTCTACAAAACTGTCAGGACCCTGAACCTGCACTCACCCTGGGTAGTGAGCAGATAGAAGTAGTCGAGAAGTTCGTGCTTTGGGGTGGTAGTTGTGTAAGTGCTAGTGGTGGCGTGAGAGATAAGATCGACTCATGTATAGTGAAAACCAGAGCGGCTTATGCCAATCTGGACCACCTTTGGCGCCTTTGTGATGTTGGTCTGGCTGTAAAAGTTTGGATCTACAACACGTCGGTGAGAGTAGTTTTGTTCTATGCTTCTGAAACCTGCCCTCTCCGAGTTGAGAATGTTAGACGAGTCTCCATGTTTGGTCATCATTGTCTCCGAAGGATTGCTGACATCCAGCGGCAACACCATGTTAGTAATGTAGAGGTTCGGCATCGTGTGTTCGGGCTCAGAGACGATAATCCACTTAGTGTCACCATCTTGGAACATCGACTTCGGTGGCTTGGACATGTTCTACGAATGTCGTTCCAGAGAATTCCACGTCGTGCATTATTTGCCGACGTTGGGAGTGGTTGGAAAAAGTAGAGAGATGGTCAGTATATGACATGGTATCGTGGTATAAAGGAAAACTACAAATGGGTGGCTTTTGTTGGTCCTTCACGACTCTCTGGCTGGGGTCCGAGAGATGGTGCAACACAGTGGCTAGAGACGTTACCAAATATGGTTCAGAATAAAAGCCAGTATCTTCCTTAACTGGAAGAACTCTTCTGCTAGTACCTTCCCGTTTCCCCCATTATTATTATTATTATTATTACACTATCTTACACTAATCTGTAGTCGTTATTGTTCTTTTTTTTCCTATACGCACCTTACCTTCTTTTTTCTCTTTTCATTCTCATTGTTTTGTGTGGCGCATATATATTTGGTGCCCCCTTGTACCAATATTTATGTGTTCAAATAAATCAATAAATAATGATGTACGAATAATGTAGTCTAGCACAGACAAATCTCAAATAACATAAATATTCATTCTAACCTAACCAATTTAGTTCATTAAAACTAATGGGTAACAAATATTGACCGCAAACCAAAAATCCCAACATATTTTTGGAAATATATATATTTTAGTTGCTAAACTAGTTTCAAAAAACCCAGGATAATAACAGGTCTGAATATAAAATAACAAAGATCAGGGACATAAGGGTAAACGTTAACCAATTCGATTGTGCAAAATCAATATAATTCTATCAACAGTTTTCTTTTCTTTTAATATTTAACCAATTGCAAACATTTCTGCTTAAGAAACAATTGTCATCATAAAGATGTTTTTATTTTTATTTTAAAAAAAAGGAGACTCAATTATCGTAGTAGGAAACAAATGCACATAATTGAACCATCGTGTAAGAGAACAAAAAAAAGAACGTGGGAAATGCAAAATCTACAAAAAAAAAGATACGATAAGGATATTTACATAGAGATAATAAAATATTTAACTGAAATCATATACACATGAAAGAAAGCTAGAGAATATAAATGAGTATAAGTATAAATTAATGTCAGAAAACAATCTATACAAACTAAACAGAAATATATCAATTAGTTACATAGTCACGTGTAACGACAGATTATCAGTACAAATGTGTCTCCGCATAATAAATAGATTAATAAATAAGGTATATACAGTATACAATTGAAATATTAACTTCAACAGAACAGTTATGAAACGTGAAACATCTTTTTTGCACCAAAATGAAAAAAAACGACGGATTTACATATTTGTAAAACAAAAACAAAGTTATGTTTTCTACACTGATGATAATGTTACGAATATGTGAAATTAATGGACTGAAGAAGATTGGTCAAAAGGAAGGACACATATACCAACCCATCCCTCATGTGCAATTAATGAAGGTCCAGATGACCATTGCCAATCAGCGAAAGGATTAGAAGAAGATGGGATGACAGAAGATAATGTGGAAGTACCACCATTACAATTGATATTAACTGAAGCGGATGGAATAGATGGTTGATGACTAATTGGGTTAGGTTTTAACTTTTCTAACATCATAGTTTTCTGGAGGAGGGAGGAAAGAGTTAAAGAAAATCCGCGAGGGATAAGATACAATATATGGGAAACAACTAGGTACGTTAAACATTAAGAAAAATAACAACTGTAATACACAAAGCAGTTTCCATTACATGAAAATGATATTTTTTAAATTCATTCCCCAAGTACTTAGCTATGATGAGCTAAACTCTAGTTTTTGGAGTTAATGATACTATTCGGTTGCTGAAAAAAGTAGGTGGAGCGGAATTTTCGAACCTGGCGAATGATTGTAGTGGCTGGTACTATGTTAAGCCCAAACATGTTATTCTAGCTTCTGGACAGATCAATCTATTTATTCTTCTCAAGCCACATCTTGACGTTGTCACCAATACTCTTATTAATCCCGACTACTTTTTATTTGATCGTATGTGTGTTTATTGCTTACGCTATTAATTACATGCCTGTAACTTATTTTTGGTCTAAATATTGAGTGAGGCTTGGTTATATTGAGTTGACTCGCTTTCTCCACTGCGTGTCATTTTGTCTCGCTTCGCTGTATTCTCTTCACTTCGTTTACCTGATTGCCTGTGCAGATGATAAATAAGTGTACGGAACATTCGTATTCAAACCTCATTCTCGTATTTGACTTATTTTGTTCCGCTATTCTCTAACACAAACTGAGTCGAGAATTATATAGCTGGCATGTATATTCCGATAACGATCACCACATGATCCAACTGGATTTAGATACAGGGCTAACAGCGATCATATGGTGGCTTTGATATACATGTGAGCCATGGTATAAAGCCAAAGGTTACCCAAGCATTGTTAACTTTCAAACATCATTTGCACTACAAAACATCGTCCGTTGGGTTGACCGGTGTTTGAGCATACATGAGACATTTCCTAACTACCTTGGCTAATGAGTTTTCGCTAACTCATCAGTCGATTTGTCACTCTTATCTATTACTCTGCATCTAACCTCAGAATTGCTAACTCAATTGTACCGAAATACACGAGCAAGGCATCTATGATTGAACCTGTGAATTTCCTGCATTTTTAAAGCCACATTTCACAGCCATAAAATAGAGCGGGGCGAACTGCAGCTTAGTATACTCACTTTTGATTTGATAAATATCCTGCATACACCACAATTGATTCAAGTTGGCAAGCGCCGATCGAGCCTTTTGAATCCGTGCTGAGATTTCTTCAAAGTTGAAGACTATCAGGACTGATGAGACTCTTTAGTGGCCCTTAATATGACTCCAGTTCGTATGAATGATTGCTATCGAAATATACATATCGTCGATTCTTGTCTATAATTATCGACTCAATCCGCGTTAGTAAATAAAGGGATTAAATAAACCAAATACGGGAATGGATTTTCGAATGCGTATATTTTCTACACTCGTTGGTCTGAACAAACAATCAAAGCGAGCGGACCATATTGGAGAAGGCAAGTGAGCCAACTGAATTTAATCAAGCGTTTATCAATATTTATAGTCAGAAAAAAAAAAGCTACATACATGTGATGAGTAAGATAGAAAATGCACACACATACGCTTATATAAAAATAGTCAAGGTTGACAGGCGAATAATTAACAAGGTCAAAAGGTAGCTTGATGAGGATGGATACGTTGTTTTGTCCAGAAGCTAGAATAAGCTATGTGTGATCGACATAGGACTAGCCACTACAACTCCTAAAGTGAATTAGTCGACATGCTCGACTACTTCACTCTATTATCGATTCAGAAGTTGATGCAAACTAGTCCTGAGATAAAATTTTGCATCTGAAAGGAGAGGATCGCATCTCAAACGCGATTGTATTGTCCCTTAAGGTGGTCAAAAGACCACATTTTGTAAGCATCTCCATCAAATAGGACTATGTCACTAGCGAATTTTACGTTAACAAATGAATTTCCGAGTAGATGAACCATTGGAAAGTCAGACGACGAGAGTGTTATCTTTAAAAGTGTCGATGACGAAGGTAAATAAAAATGGAGAAGATGGACAGCTTTGATGAACACCACTTGCGGTTGACAATTCGGGTGACATTTACCCCATAAAATCCAACTTGATCAGTGATGTTCAGGTAGTAGTATTATTCATTTATTTGAAAACATAGATACTGGTACAAGGGGGCCCCAGATACATATGCGCCACATAAATCTCATTTGCTTTGTGTGAGGATTGTGATACTGCCCATGTGCCTAAACCGGAGCAGGTGGTTTCCTTAGGGTTCACACCCGGAGCCTTCGACCTGAAGGTCTGATCCACAAGGCAGTGGAGCATCGTAAGGAGATGCAGTCCCATGGTAGCCGGTGACCAGCGATTGGTTCATACGCCATTTGTTCCCTCAGTGTACTACAGCCCATGTGCACCATTGGTTTGGAATCAGGGTTTTCCAACTCCCGTAGGTGGACTCTCCGTGTCCACCAACCCGGTCAAAGCGCCGGACATTCGCTTTTCGTTCTCTCGCTTTCGTAAACAGCATTCCCGCCACAAGGATGTAGTGAGTAGGACTTCCCTGGCAGAGGATATATACGCGTGGAAATGTGAAAGCATTTCGAGAAGGAGAGCGGACTCTCCCCATTCTCGACCGTACCAGGGCATTTGAGAGCAAGGTTGATGTACTTGTTTAGTACGCCTTTCAATAAAAAACACTGTCATAAAACCTCTAAAACAATAAATTCAAGCACTTCTCTTATGTTTATCTGTGTGTATGAAGATAATTACAAAATAAATATAAGTGGGAAAATTTTTGATAGGGTTGTGAATTTTCATAGACTATGATGGCTGAAATATGTGGTATACAAGCATCACGTAATGTTTGTCAGCATGAAAATAGAATAATATGGCTATAGTCTATAAAGTTAATGAGTAATGAATTGAGTCTTTCTGAGACAAAGTTTCTAGTTATGTTCCACCAAGTAATCAAACCAATAGTTGGAGACCTTATACTTGGCATGGCTTCTTTCAAGCCTGGAAACGCAAACAAATGAGTACAATAACTGAAGTCAAAAAGTTTTCATTTTACAAGATCAAAGGCACATCAATCTTATACCCTTCGAAATACTTCTCACTTTCATAATTAAAGTTTCCCTGTCATCTCGGTTTTTGCTTCACAAAACAACCATTGAAGTCCTCATAATCATAAGCTTCATCATTCTACCTTCTAGCTAGGCTAGACTAAAACATGGCACAAATCCATGAAGTCACTGACAAGTGGACTGAGCCATGTTAGTAAGTATAGACTACCTGATTGGGATCGTGAGATGATAGCAACTGATGGTTAGAGGCCTTGAATGACATGGCTCAAAATCGTTTGCAATGGCCCAGGTGCATCCACTCTTTGTGTTCTCCCAAATTCTAATCTTCTGAATCCTTCATGTCCCTTTTTTTCTCTTTCCAAATTTATTTCGCTGGATTATACTCCTTGAATAATATCTTCAAACCCTAAAGTTTATGATTACTGCTTATACTCTTACTACGTCTACCACTATGGGATTTGAATCGACAATTGTATCTGTGTGCTAATGTGGTATGGCAACTCGAACTGATGTACCTACGTACGAAGTTCTACGTTGTTACTGACTGACTGACCTTCTTGCTAAGTTTGCGCGAACATGCAATTTTTCCGAAATCCGTTAGTTAACGAACTATCCAGCGATCAAAAACACAGAAAGCCATAAGCAGTGTTTTTTCATCGACAATTCGTTCTCGAGTCGTATTATCTTTGCATTCTTTAGGTCCCTTACTGAAACCCTTAGCCTGTTTGGAAAGAGAATTTTTTAAAGAGTTATCTCGATGATCATCATTTAACATGTTATGCACTTTCTGGATTTTCCCAAATTTTCATCAAAAAAGCTCAATAGCTAAGTTGTATAGGTTTGCGGAGATTGCTGAGTTTCATCTGAATTATGAACCGACCAATGTTAGACCACCATTGAAAACCTGGAAGCACTGATTTCAACAATACCAACAAAACAAAAAATTAAATTGCATTTACAGAAAATTTAAGCAACTTTTACCCCATTTTGTGTTGTTCTAACAAATGTAACCGCTTCAGTTGAGTTGCATGAAGAAATAGACTCAAAATCAGATTGCATAGAACATGGATGATGATTACAGGAAACACCATCATCATTATTATCGTCATCATCACCATCAACATGATCGCTACAATTATCAGAAATCTTAGGTTTGTTCAATAAATTAGATAATGTATTAAATTTTGATTGTAAAACAGTACTTGATAATTCATAAGGATTTTGTTTAATAGGAGATTTGAAACATTCAACTGTTCGTAGATGAGTACTACCATCATAACCACCTAAGTAGAAAAAAGTCTTTTGATTAAAATGAAACCATTTTATTGACTTTTATTAAGATATTCTAGATAAAATAGTGGCTCATAAGATAAATAACAAATTGATGAATAGACTCATCGTCATGACTCAATTAGTTAAAAGTTGAATAGGTAAAGCACACAATATATAATGAAATTTTACCACAGATGATTAAAATGAATATTTGTTTATTCGGACAGAGTTATAAAAATTGATAATGGAGACTTGGAAATAACTATAAACAACAAACTTCTTTCATTTTACCATAGAGTTTGTCGAGATTATTGGAGTTTATGGTTTACATCAAGGATCGATATTAATTACGTAATGATTGAGAACCAATAAAAGCTGGACAGTTGTTTTAAGCTAGTATGGCATTCTACAACAGTGAACATCTATGTACCCACCAGGGATTGAATTCAAAGACATGTAGACCAATAGATGCTGACGCACTAATCTAAATGTTAAGATCCAACAGCAAGACCTGAAGGACTTAGGTTATATCTTTGATGGGGTTGTGGGTGTTTACTATTGAAACGTCTCATACTAGGATGAGACAGTCGTCCATTATTTATTCGTTCTCAAAAACTGTCTAATTAATGTCAGTTTATGATGTAAGCTATTGAATTTCCCCGTTTACTGGAAAAGAAAAAGTATGAAGATAGAAAAATTTTTACTTCTGCTAGCTTTTGCGTATACCATACACAGTTTGATTTCATTTGCTTATTTTGAAATATACTTTTTAACATTCACTTATTTCACCACAATCGATATTTTACTTTGATCTTCCCTTTTTCATTGCATTGATTTCTCTTCTCGATATTTTAATATGAAATTAAATAGCCCGTACCCATCCCTATTTGCCCCGAATCCTACTTCTATGTTCATGACTCATGACTGACTGGGTAACATCCCATGAAGTAAATAACTTTCTACCATATGAAGACAATTTTCTACAACTGTAAACATATCCAACACGTTAAAATAACGAACAGTAATACGTTGGCCACAAAAAAAAGAAACTATTTCAATGGTGTTTCATCATTGATATTAACCAATAACTTGATAACCATGAACAGGTATACGCACTCACTTTTGAGTATAACTTAATGCGTGGTACTGCTACTTGAATGATGATGTAAATGACTGAAAGCCAACTGCCTAACCACTGAATCATAGATCGGAGCACATATGAACTAAAAGTCGCTTACACTCACATACGTTGTCACCAACAGCAACAACGTACCACCAGCTATGATATTATACTCAAGCCGTTGAAAGACATGACTCACCTATTGCATACAAACAACCTGCAGTTACAGCCAATCCGACTCGAGAACGAGGGACTGACAAAGATGAAATTTCAGTCCATTGTCCATGTAAACCATTACGATCTGGACCAGTTGTAGGATCGAACATTTCAACACTTTGTAGAAACGAAGCACCATCATAACCACCGGCAACAATTATACGATCACGAAACGCAGTTGCGCCATGTCGACATCGCCGATGTAACATATTAGCTACTGAATACCATACATTAGTAGGACTTTGCCGAATACCATTATTCTGATGATCAGTTTCAAAACGAGATGATGGTGAAAGTGTTTTAGGTAAATCTCCACCTTTTTCATAGCATTCTACTGTTGAAAAAACAGCTAAACCATTGTGCCCACCAATAGCATAAAGACGACCATTGAGAGCAACAAGACCACCAGCGGATCTGGGCTCATTCAAGCTTGATATTAACTTCCATCTAAAGAAAATAAACCAATCAAATAAAAAACTTAAAGAATTAACGTCATAATATAAATGAGACTATTCTATGCAAAGCATTCGCTGGATAGTAAATAAATTACAGTTTTTAAAGTACATAATGCTACTAAGGTTGAATTCCTTAAAAACTGAATGTCTAACCTAAAAATTACTGATAGGTACTAAGTTTCGGTTCATAAGGACTCCTACTAATCAAAATCGAACAGATTCAATGTACTACCGAACAATATCCATTACCATTGATTATTATATTTTTAGTTTGCATGTTAAACAGTTAATCTCCATGGTCCTGTTTTAGGCTGAGTCGTTTACAGTAAAAACCAGTCTACTAATATTTTTTTAAAGTCACAAAGCAAAATGACACAAATGTCAGTCTCAGGGGAATCATATAATATTTGGAAGTTATAGACGCGATTTATCGATAACGGATAATAAGCGAGAAATAAGGATCCATAATTTCCTGTGCACTGGAAATTAACTATGGAAAACCAAGTTGTTTGTTGCATCATAGTGATAATTGTGCATTTTTTTAACAACTCATTTACCAGGTATAGATTTATGTACTTGAGTTCGAGTTAAACAAAGTTTAAAGGTTAGTGATACTATTCGGTTGCCTAAACTAAAATAGATGAAGCTGGGATTTAAACCTGTGATTTAGTGGCCGAACGTTGAACACCATAACTATTTAGCCACCTCCTCACAGCTCTTCAGTATAGATAACAAGTTTAAACACCATGATTAATGTAATTACTTCAACTTGATCAAATATACTTATAATTAAGTCTAAATCCTGAGATATAATTTTTTTTAAAAATTGCTTACGTATCTTGTTCTGGAATATACATCTCACATGTACGTAAAGATGTTTGACCATCAAAACCACCGCAAACATACAAACATCCATCATAAGCAGCAGCTCCTGCAGCACTACGTCGACAAATCATTGAAGCGACGGTTGCCCATTTTCCAATTTTTGGATTATATACTTCAGTTGTACGTAAGCGAGAATTTCCATCAAAACCTCCAATAGCGTATAACAGTCCTAGAAATAAGTAAAAGACAATAATTGCTCTTTAATTATAATCCTAAAAAACATTTTACATACTGCTTTATGGAAGAGCAGCAGATCAGCGATTTAGACACTTCAAGAACTCAAGCATTAGTGACAGATCTGAATTATTATTTACTTAGAAATTTGGAGAAATGCATAATTTACCCATAAGGATTCAACAGCCGTTACACTAACCGCTGTTCCCTCCTACAGACTCCAACACAGATCCTCAAGAATAAATTTCCTTTCGAGGTGCAGGCAATCGGGAAACGACATCTGTTCTTAATTATTTTCTCATCTGGACCATGTCTAACTGAAAAAGGGTACTAATACATCGAATTCTATTGTAAGTAATTACAAGATTTGTTCATTATTGCCTGAAACCACTGCAACACATAAACCCGAATGGTATGACTTCCTACATTTGTACACTCATATGATTATCATATGTCATTAACATTTGAAATCTAACCATTCAAAAACTTAATCTTTCGACTAATTTCTTAAGTATTCAAACTAACAGAAGATCAGTTAAATTGCTGAGGGAGAGACAATGAATTTTAATAGATACATAAAACAGAGAACACATACTAGTGTAGGTGGGACTGACGATATTACGAACCGAATGACTTAAACATGAATGAAAAACAATTTAATTATGAAGATATCCCGTGTTTATAGATGTAGGTTTGATAGCTATAATTACTTGTCCAATTAAAATGTTTTCAGGATTTTTAGCCTAAAATGCTTCAGATTACAGATATGGAGAGATCGCAACTTTAATTTCTACAGAAGGGGAGAAGGAATACTGGCAATTAGATTTCAACTACACAAATACTTGTTAAGTGGTAATTAAATAAAAATCAAACAAAAAGGACATCCCTCTTACTAAATGTAAACGGATAGGGTGATATTATATGGATGTGGCTTATCTGTTGAAGGACTTGAATTTCAATGAGTATTCTGAAGTTTCACACAGTGTTCCGATTACAAATGTTTTGACTGAAAATTTTCACATAAAACATGTGGCTTGTAGTCCGCCATATAAACTAATAAGCTATTAAGTTACGCTTTTATGCTACATTTGAAGTTGAACACCTGAGGTTGAAGTTTCAAAGAGTATAAGAATCGTCAAGATTATGGATACATAATTTGCAGTGATAACAACGTCAAAATTTAGGTTCAAGGACTTCATTCTATTATCTAACTATTCAGCATGAAAAACTCGGTATTTAAGCTTACCATTCAAAGCAACCACACCAATACGACTACGCTTAGATATCATACTTTCTGATAATTCCCAACGACCAAGTGAGGGATGATAAGTCTCCACAATCCCATGACATTCTAGATCTGTATTCCAACCTCCAACAGCATAAATAACACCGAAAATATCTTGACATTTTCTAGGTCGACAATTAAAGAATTCCGACGTCTTCCATGACATAAGAAGTACATCACGTACTTCATCTAGAATATCTCTGCAAAAGTAAAGTTTAAAAAAGTCTAAATAAGGAAAAAAACTTGTCATTAGTGTAGCAAAGACAAAACCTGATTGAAACTAGTGTTCAGAAACTTCTGAAATGAATCAATTATTTTCACTGTTTAAATATAGTTTCATAAGATATTGATGGTCAGTCTTGAACGCTATATCTGGAAACAGATGTACGCATGCACAAGTCGATATATTTAACGTTGAAACGGTAAAGTTAAAAAGATAAACAGCGGAGTTGTAGAGATACGAGCAGTTAAAATATCGAGAAAAACAAATCAATATATAATTGAAAACCAACAATGACTAATGAAAATGAGTATCGGTGACTTTACGACTGATTTTGACCTAGGTCATCTAATGTCTCCAACCATTAGTTGTAACTATCATGTTATATAATGGCCACAGATCTATTCTAACAGTCAGGTCTTACTTGACTGGAGAATTAATGACCTACAAGTTGACTTCATCCGATCACCTTTAAAATTTTATTGTTTATTTTGTGTTTGTACTCTGTACATAAACATGTTACTTCATCTCTTTGAAAACCCAATCTTCCAGCCAGTGATTCTGTTTGTGATTTGTAATCATTCGGTAGGCTTGGATCAATAATACAGAATCATGAGTAGCCACCACTCAACCATACCATATCATTGTAATTTATCTATAGATTAGTACTCAATACACTTACTTTAATAATAGAAAATTTAGTCTTATCACTCATTGAAAGCTCCCAAAACACAAGCAATCTTCAAGTAAGAAGCTTGCACCTCTAAAAATGGATTGGTTTAAAAGTCAGAAACTTTAAAACCAGATGAAATATCTCGGTCTGGCCACTAATTGTCTTTTTCTATTACTTCAGTACTGGTTAGGACACGATGAAGTAGTAAGTAGTGGCTGGGCATGTACAACGTATGTCCTAAATACCAAGGTCTATGAAGACCCACAACTTTATGATTTTAGGAATATGGAACCTCAATTAACTTCAAATGTCTGAGATTCAAAGTATCGACACTATCACAATTACGCACCGGTTTCTTATCCAGAGCTTAAAGCTGTTAGGCTTTTGAGATTTTTAAGTAGCTAGTTTACAATTCATTGGGGAAAAACACATGAATATACGGATCGAAGAAATTTCCCAGCAAATATCCGATGTATTCAAAGTGAAGTGAAGTAATGGATTAATCACCCAATATTCATCTACCAAGTTTCATATGCTTAAATGCGATTCCAGATGATACAATTTGGGCAGCTTAGTTTTTTTAGTTTTTAGAAAGGAATTAAGAATTAATTCGTAAGTACACGACTATTAACGTAACTACTCGATATAACTTGTTTATTATGATTTGAAACATTTTTGTCTATAGAATAACTTACCTACAACGAATGTCCTTTCGAATAAGATCATGCCGCGAAATAACTGAGAAAATGTAGCTAACTGGAATTAGAGGTAGTCTGATTCGTCTAAGAAGGCATGGAAGAAAGTCAGTGCGGGTTTGCTATTGAATATTTGTGTAGAACAATGACAACTATGAAAATGATGTGTAGAATGTAAAGAACCATTACAACACGAATATCGATGACCAATCTCACCTGAAACAGATGGTTTTATCGAATGCACATTACTATCATAATATTGAGGTAGCTCAATTACGTTAACCGACTCTGATATAACAGAGTTCGTCTCAGTATCAGAATTGGATTTTGTTTCAAATTCAACCCAAGACATAATTATATGAAACAAGCGTTCTTCACTGCTGACATTCAGTTCATCTGACTCCAGTAATTCCATCAATTCGCATCCTTCAAGGTTAAAAAATGAAGTTGTGCGTGCGATATCTTCGAAATTTTTGTAGATATATGCCTCACAAGCAGATACCAAGTCTGTACATAGATAGCTTTGGGCAAGATTTCTTATCGGTAAGACTATGTCGACAGTCAATCTGTGAAAAAAAACATCCAAACAACATCACTGAACTCTATAAAAAGAGAGCGCAAGAGGTCAGTGCAGTAAAAAATCAAATCAGACTTGAGGTCAGTAACCCTTTCTTCTAATAATATACGACGCACAAACATACAAAAACTACTATGAATTAGTGGTCTCAAGATGTGAAACACGTTTAGTTCGGAGATATCTTAATTATGAAATCTTAGAGAACGATTACTATAAAAACATCGGCAAAAAACACCGTCATAATAACTAATATAAAAGACATCTAATCTCTTTTACCAAGCAAGATGTACACTTTAAAACCCTTTACATTGATATTATATACTGGTTAATCAAACGAAGATAACTTAACCCCTGGTATAAATATGTATCGATCGAAGCTAACAAACTCCACATTAGCACAGAGACAAGACATCAGAAAGATGTAAACAAACTAACAGCGAAGAATAATAGCAGAGTAAAAAACAGGTCAAAATAGACAAACGGGAGACTGAATAACAAATTAGGGGACTTACAACATTCAGTTGGAGGACAAACTAGAAGTAGCAAATCATTCAACAGTGAATGTAAGCACTTTCTATTGCTATCAATATTATGACAACCGTGTTTAGTTCAGTACATTTATCAAAAGTTTTTGCTCTAACTGTAACCGAACCTTCACAATTATTAAGTTTAACTATACTTCACCGATGTGACACACACATCCAATGAACAACCATATTAATCTTTCGTAAGTCTTCGTATAGTAATGTTCATATTGTTTAGCCCATTTAAGAACTTTAAAATGAGACTAAAATAAGTGGTTCTACTGGCTTTCCTTTACATCAATAAACTGTACATTTTTCACCATAAAGCCCGACTACATTGCAAGAAAAGTGGTTGCAGCAGAAGTGTTTGAGATTAACACATTAAAATATATTATGAAATAAGATCAATTCTCCGACTCTCAGAATTGATCTTTATGAATCAACATAAATTTCAGAAAGTCATCGAAATGCCATGCAATATTTCCTCACATGAGAAAAAATTAATGTGCGAAAATTCACTAGTTGGTAGTTTGGTCAAGCAGTCTAAAAAGCTAAGCCCGAAGTGTAAAATACTTACCTATCTATGGAAAACGTTTAAGACTCTATGTCTGCTCATATTTATTGAATATACCCTATTAAACTCACCTTTCACTGATATATCTGCAACAGATGTTACGAACATTATTAAGCTGTAAAAAATTGGCACCGATTAAAATTGATTGAACATTACGAGGGTTGATTTGAACTAAGCCAGTATAAGCATAACCAATGAACGCTTCTAAAGCACTGGATACTAATAAGAGATAAATAATTTACCAAGCGTCAACTCCGTGAATGGTGACCTCGCTTTTAGTAGATTCTGCCATGTTACTTAGAAACATTCCATTAAAAAATGGTATAGTGGCGGCCAATACAATCTTGTGTGCAGTGAAGCGATTATTATCCGCCTATTAATCAAACAAATAACTGTTACAACTCACAATCAAAGTGACGTCACATAGTTTTCCGTCTCTTCGCATACAATCTAAAGCAGTGAAACCGATTTTGTATATCTCACGATCTTGAAAATTGAGGGAGTTTGGTAGATAAGACTATAAGTATTGAATTTATACATATCTGAACATAGTTACTTTGGTCTTAACTCCAGCTGATGTACCGCTCATGTTTAAAAGTACTTTCAGGACTGATTAAATGGTGTCAATTGATACTGTTCAATATCCTTCGAATGAGCCGGTGCAACAAAAATAAATTCCTACCGCTCTCCTATAAATATTTTGGTAACGTTCCACGTCTATGTTGGCATTCAAAATGTACTACCTTAGTCAGTTGACTTCATTAGTCTAAGTTCTTGTTACTTAAGGGTCTATGCATCTGTGAAGTCAAGTCTTTATTAAGATGTAATCTAGGTTAAAAGTAAATTTCACGTGAAAAACGATGGTCTGAAATAGCCAGATTGCCTATATTAAGTGAATTCATCCGTAGAAATACTATCGCGTGATATTCTAACCATGTCATATTACTCATGAAACTCTTTATGAAGGCATAATCCATATTATCACAACTGATCAAATGGTTACTGAGGATTGACTGATGCCTAGGGTTGACCATAAAAAATATTCCATCACAAACAATCTAGGGTCCCTAAACATAAGCTTTTGATCACTTCTATTAATTCCATAAGTGATCTGTAGCGGTAAATAAATCCCCAAAATAAATAGCCCTGTAAGTTTTCGACATTGGATGCTGACCATATGTTTTAGTGGACTCATCTAGCTGAAGGCGCTCGGTCAGGCATCCGTACCAGATCACGTGTGGTAACGCCGTGCTCAACATCTACCGCAATCGCTAGCCAGATTAGATCAGGGAATTCCGATATATCGGTCATCGCCAAATATACTTTTCCGATCTCCTCAACTCTGTCTTTTGATTTCTCTTGGTGGGGACGAAATATATTAGAAGGTGTTACTGGTAAAAGCGTTGTCAAAAACTGAATACCTGTGGCATCATCAAGTCCACTAAAATATATGGTCAGCATCCAGTGTCGTAAACTTACAGGGCTATTTATTTTGGGGGGTTATTTACCGCTACAACAACATTCAAAACACTTGGCATTACGAACTAAATTGTTGGTTTCCTTCTGAGGTTGATATTCATTACACAATTATTATTCTTATCATAGATCAAAAATTTTCACTAAGTGTTCACTTCTTTTCTCTCTTCTTTCCCTCTAAATAAATATTCTTAAGATTACGAAGTTTGTAATTAAGACAATAACTTGTGTTACACTTAAATTAAATTCTCAGACTCGTTTTATCTTCACTATGCGTATATGACTCATACATATTGATATTTTATTATCCTTTTCATTTAATTGTAACTTTTATAGCATCACTCCAAGCTATGTGATTGCAAAAACATTTATTCTAGCGTCATATTTTACTGCAATTATAAGTTATTTTTTCTTAATTATTTTTTGTTACTAATTTAACGATACACACATAGTCGTTTATTCTTGTTCTGTGTTCGTAAACACGCCTATTAGACTGTTTGCGTATTTCACGTCTCCTTTATTTCTATTCCCTTATTTTCTCCATTTCCTTCTTTAAACTCAATTCAATATTCTTCTCAATTGCACAGACCCGATTTATTATTATTAATATTCTACTATTATTGCTCTAAATTTTTTTTTAAATGGCAAGTATAATGCTGACATTATTGAAAATTGTGTATTTTTGCATTTTTTGAAGAAACCTGAAATGGTTTCTTCACAACACTTATGTACCCACAAGATGTTTGTGAATAATAATAATAATAATAATAATACACGAATTACATGAGTAAATTTGGCACAGGACAAATACCTACCGAACTCGTTCTCATTTTCGTGACCTGCAACTCAATGTATTGAATTGCTGGATGACCTGATAAATCATTTCATGGATTTTTATTCTTTTCAGGATTCGAAATTTGTACAATTTACATGGTCAAGTAGTAACTCATTGAGAGTTGCCTAAGGAAGTGAAATAGGCTCTTCTGGAAGTAAAATATTTTTTAATAAGCTCCAAGGTTATTCTCGGATTAATGTAAGGAAATAAGGCCTATTTTCAACATCCTCGACATCTTCCTTGGTCATAGTCCAGACTTTGAACGTTCCAATATAATCTTAAAGAGCTCCAGAATTTGAATGCATGTTCAAACGTTTCATCACGACACTTATGTAATGAGCAGAAGTATTTGAACGGTTTTACGAAATGGGAATCTTCGAAAAAAGTCAATTTAATTTAGGTAGAACTATGTGAGCACAAACGAACGTATTGTTTTGTATTCGAAATCTGGCGGTCACAAAGTAAAAAAGAATCGCTAGCTGATACACGCACCATAGTAAGAGTGAGATCAAGAATCAGTGAATGAGTATTACTTGTTTCCCGCATAATGAGCACATTTGGAGAACAAATATTATCTTGTCGACAGAGCAGCACATCTATTTTGTAGACCGAAGAGGTTAATTAAGTGGTCTACGAGTGTAATTTAAAATTATATCCGAACGACCAAAACGTCTGGTGTAGATAATCATGTGGAATATTCTACCAACGCAGAGGACAAGATGTAATAATTTATCCAGAAGTACGCGATAGATATAGGAGTGCGCCAGACTACACAACTTCCTGATGAATTGCACCGAGCTAGGAGACTGTTCAAGTTCCTCATTAAACTTTACTAACCACACTATACTCATTAATTTAATTATTGTGAAGTTTGTCTAGAAAACGTAATAAATAACGAAGCACTGACTGATCCTGGCCCTACGTTGTAGATGACTGACTGACTTTTATTTTTATACGTCCTCTACACTAGACTGGTTTGATGGGTCTTTTTTGGATACGGTTTATAGCATTCCCATCCTATTGGAGTGAGCTAAGGAACACGGGGTTACGATATGTAATAAAGCATTCTACGCAAATACATCAGTACTGACTATAAGATTTATCTAACGAAAAAGACATGAAAAAGTCGCATTTTAAAACTTTTATTTATAAAAAGACAATCACACTTTTCACCTTCAATAAAGTATGGTAAGTGATAATACTGACGAGCATGTCTCTGTCAGACTAGTGATCAAAACAGTAGTTTGACGTTTTTCATAATACAGAACACGTAAAAGTTAGAAGAACAAGATTGAATTCACTGACATTCTACGAGCATACGTAGGATCATACCTAGATAACATTTGTAATATGCAGCTCACAAAGCTTAAGTTAAGATTACAGTAACAATAAAACAGATAGGCGTGTGAAATCTGCAAAGTGTACTAGGAGATAGGTCAACAAATTATCAGTCAATCTCGAATGAATTTGCCATGTTTTCAGTTAAATTTATTCAATGCGTAACGAGTCCCCACACGACGTGCTGAGTGAAAAAAATAACAAGAGAAGAAAATTAAGACACAATTAACATTGATTTTCAAAGGAAGCAAATTGTTATTCATGTACGGTTTAGGTATACAATCGTATAATTCACAAGAAATAATGTCAACTGCCGATGTTACAAATGTATGTGATAGGTAGTAAATGAGAGATCTACAAACAATCACCGGTCCAAAAGAAGTACTTAGTTAAAAGAATCTCTAGTTTTTCATTAATAAATTTGTTCTTAAATAAGTGAGCATGTCAAATGTAAATAAATATTAAAAAAAGGTCAAGATAGTACATAAAAAGGATTCCGAAACCCTACGAAATATATTTCAATTCTGTACAAACATTAAGAGCTAATATGTATATGAATGAATAAATAAGCAATTAAAAAACAAATAGAAATTCTTGATGTCAATAAACCTGTGACTATTTTTAAAAATATACAGATATATCTATAGATATACTGAAGAATAAGTGCACTAAACAGGAATAGGTGATCTTACAAGCAAAACAGTAAGATAGTGGCACAAAACACATGGTTAATGTTAACACAAATATCTTTGTTAGTGTATTGAAATTATTAATCTAAATAAGAGACATACACCAAAAAAACCTGTACTTATATGAAATGGTTGAAACTATCACAGATTACAAGACGAAAATAACAGAAAATCTACACCAAAAATAGACCAATGGTGGGACTAATAGTAAAAGTCAAAGGTACAGATAGCAATAGAAAATGAAATGAAGTGAGAGAACTGAGACAAAATCCATGGCGAAAAGAATATAATGATATAGTGCTTAAGAGGAATATAAAATAAAGTGATATTTAAGTAGTGTGATCGAAATCAACCCATTAATTGTACTAGTTCAATACAGTCGATGAATTAATTTAATGAAAAACAGTACTATTGAATAGCTCTTTTAAATCGTTGCCTAACAAACTATAATTTAGTCAACATAAATGATAGTCTGAGTCATTTAGTAGAAGATCAAAGGTAACATAGACTATACTCTTCCCAACAGTAACAATCGACCTAATTAGATAACAGATAAAAAAAATAATGCATTATAAGCCTAAAATTGACCCAAAAAAGTTGTATACAAGATCACAAGCTACAAAGCGCATCTAACAAACCATAAGAAAGGAATACATTAACTAAGGACTAAACAAACATTGCATATGTTTGTTACTAATATTCACTGTTTAGTCAATGTAAGGGAAATTCAATATCAACCTGAATAGCTCAGTAATATCAGCTGGATATAATCCTGACAATTTTATACCTTTATAGGACTTAAATGGGAATAGACATGTTGGTCTACTTTCAACCAATCAGAGCTGTTAGGCGAATCAGAAGGATGCTAGGAGATTCTTTTGTTAACTCCACTGTTTTCACCAGTGTTTTGTTGTCCCGATTTTAAGAATATATATCTTCCTGTTTCAACTCTCGTTTCGATTTTGGAAGAATCAAGTGAAGCATCGTAGTTGATGAATACTACACAGTAGAAGAGCATAACAAACATTAGGTAACGCGGGTTCTAATCTCATAGATTGGGTTAGTTCCTCCAAGACTGCAAGTCAGCCTAGAAGACGACGAGTGACAACGAGCGTAAAACCCGGGATTCAATACACTCTGCCAACTGATCCATAAACACCAAACACATTTAATTTTACCACACCCACATCGGAATAGGGAAGCACATAACTAGCTTTACAAATGTGGTTAGTTGCTTCACAGTCTAAAAGGTTAGTTAGTATTTGGAAATCAAATCTATTTTTGCTAAGCGAAATAGGATAAATATGGTAACTAAAATCAAACAACATCGGAAGTCACTTCACACAAAATAGACATTCTGAAAACTCTTCATAAAAAATTAAACATAAATCTACGAACATTATTAGATTCACTGCAATCATTTCCCTTACAAACCGAATTTATTATGATTAGAATACAGTATGTGTTAAACATACCTACCTTTGAATTAAACAAATGCCTGGCGCCTCGCTAGAATTATCATATTACATATACATACACACATATTGTTTAATACATATATATATATGCATAGATTTGGCAAATTTTTAGTTTTACTCAAAGGAGAAAAAACAAAAACAAAGAAACCTTAGCAGAACACGATGAATTAATGTTGATATTTCAAGTGTTCGAACCGTCCAAGTAACTTTTCAATTTCCTCTAATCAGTTACGTAATTTTTTATTCCATAATCTCAAAAACAGAAAACCATCCTTTATTCACGGGTTGTTTTTAGCTTTACTCATTTTACTATGTTAGCCTATTCATTTTTATGGTCATTATTACGTAACTTTGATATCGATTTTCATTCTCTAGAAATGTCTCCATATTATTCAAGAAACAATTTTTTTTCTTGTAGGATTTTTCCACTGAATAATATGTAAATGCTCATCCACTTTATTCATATTTAATTCTTTCATAACTGTTATCATCAATCTACTAATCTTCACTAATATGACATAAAGTATGTAAATTGATTGTAAATATACATTACTACTTTTTCTAGATTGTAAGTAGCTTAAAAGAAACTATGAAATAAATGAATCCATTCTATCTATCAAAGCATTTTTCTTGCTTTAATCAAATCTATCAAAATGGGAAAAATTATACAAAATATTTCACTGAAATCATGATAACAACCAGGTACTCTTAATGAGAATACTTTAAAAGAAATGTTAATTGATAACCAATGTTAATCATAATATATTCCATAAGAAAAAAACACTTCATATATGAACTATACAGATATTTATACTGCTTGTTTACCTAATAGTTTCTCTGAACTTTTATTTATTACCGCTATGGACATTATTAAACTGTACTTTGAACCAATACTCGGTCATAATTGATAAGTCAGTCGTTTGGGATATAGTCTATTGTCTCAGATGTAGCAAACAATCAGGCATAGTTGAATCAGAGAAAAAACTATGTTCATAGACACAGCTTAAGCAATTCAAAATAAGTAACGAGTAAATGTGAACAATGTTCTGTCAGAACATTTGGAAATCTTGACAACAGCCATCGAGAAAATGTGAACAATGAATACTGATATGATGACCAAGGACTTAATTGGCTAGTGTGTGAGTAACTAAACCATTGATTTCTCCCAGTCCTTATGGCATACAACTACATCTTAAGTAGTTATCATGTAACTCAGTCTATTAATTATATTTGTTAGTTATAAACGCGTAAGTGTATGATAATGTAAATGTGTTCACAAAGTTTTTATTTAATCGATGTTAAAAATGTGACTTAGTTTGACTTATATAAATCTGACTGTAAATAAACCATATAAAAAGAAGTGTATTCATACACAATTTTGAGTTATATTGAGGATCAAATAAAAACCTATCTGTCGCCTTTTGAGTTCTTACTTGCGTTGTTCAACTCATGGTCTTGCTAAAGCTTTCCTGCTTCGTTTTTTGCGCCCGGGCAGTATTCCAGCAGTAGAACGGTCTAACCAAAAGAACCTATAATGAACTCTTATACTATGTTCTATATTTTATTTGCATTTGTTAAAAGTACTTTCTAGTCGCAATTATGATCAAAAGATTAACTGAATATATGCATTTTAACCGACCTATTAACGCGATTGTTATATTAATGGCAGTAATTAAATCGCATTCAAAATGAATAAAACACACCAGCCCGATATATAAGTCTCATTGTTGTCACCAGCTTTCATACATATCCCGTGTTACTAATCCGACACATATACTGACTCAGGATGGAATAATCCATCAGAGAGTACCAATTCCCTCAAGATTATAGATAAACCTTGTTGACGAGTTACAAATCGCACCAAACATATATCCATGGTTTCCTGTCGACCACCTTCAACCACCTATCAGATGTAATCTGTTTATGGGTAAATCATATCAAAACAAAATGTAAACCGTATATGAAAAACTTTTTCCAGGAAGATGAATAATTATACCTATGGTGAAAATACATTAACAGACGATAACTAGCTAGTCCAATAAAGAGAGATTGCATACTACGTGATGAACTGAATCAACAATGCATAATTTAGAACAAACGTTACACTACTTACTTCCTTGATACGACTGAGAACCTAAATAGAAACCAAAAAATGACATTAGAATTAGTCTAATAACAAGCTAACTTAAAAGGTAAAGAATACACAGGTATATACAAGAGAAAAATAATAATTACAGCACGAATACAATATACAAGGTATTTAACCGAGACAGTTTGAATATGAGCGTTAATTATCAAATAATAGTATATAAATGAGCAAGAATAAGTGGGAGGATTTTAAGAATGATTAGCAGTATTGCTTTTATCCCCTTTCATCACATCAAATGTCTAATAGATCCTCCGATCGATTTATAGTGAAAGGATAAAGACCTGATAGACATACACTATACAAGATGAAAGATCATTTGAATGAATTCGGTTGTCAGCAAATTCATACTGAATTCTAGTTTAAAAATACATATGGATCTCAATACTTTTGCTAAGAAAATAAGCTGCAGTAAACTAGTTTGTGACACAAGATACTTGTTGGTTACTTTTAGTCCGGAATGATATAACAGATACGTTAGAATACATTTAATTACTCGTAACTGTGTTATCATTCATACTGGGGTAATTGAAATCAAACTACTGAATTGGAAACTAAAAAAAATATGACTAGTAATTGAACAATATGTTTACAGACTATAAAGTTATAAGTGAAATAGTTTTTACACTAACCTTTCAAACCGGACAAACCACCAGTACGTGATTCAATTAGTTTATCATTCATTTCAACTATACTATTGACTTTATCACTTAGTTGTAAAGCAAGAGCCTGAAGACGTGAACGTTCTGTCTTATGCATTATTAATGCATCACTAGGAACTTCCAAAGAGGCCTATGAATAATAATAATAATGATAAACAAGAGTTTAAAAAGTAGAATACTGTCGCAAATTAACAAAAACAAAGAAATTATTTTAAATAAAATACATGTATCGAAGTTATCCAACGATAATATTATAGTCTTCTTCTACAACATAATAATCTTGGATACTTCAATTCAATTAACCAGTCTCAAAACAAAAATACGAATTAAAAAGAAACGTTAACATAATTCAATTTAGTTAATCAGTTATATTTCGATTAGAATGATTGTAATTTATGAATGTAGTTATTGTCACTAAATAAAATAACGAACTTCATACTCAATAAATCGGTAGTTGTGAAAATTTATTGAAAGTTAATGAATAAAAGTTCATTTTAAATGTCATTTTCAATAATCAAGAGAATCTAAAATATGCACTCTTAGTTCTGGCTATCATCAAATAAATATTACTACAGAAAACATGATAAATGTAATTTAAGATATCAGTAATTGTTGGATATGAATTGTTCAGCTATACACCCTCACCCATTTATCAGTCAACTGATTTACCATCATTTCCTAATACCCTGCGTCTAACCTCACTATTACTTACCCGGTGATCCCAACAGACGCCAGCAATATTTCTAAGGCATCTGTGGTCAAATACTAGTAGCTTGCGGGTGTCTTCTACTCTTAAAGGTCATGTTTCGCTGCCGTAAATTAAAACAGAACGGACTGTCGCGCAGTATACTCGTCCTTTTATTGATAGACGGATATCTCGCCAAAGGTGACGTAAGTTGGCAAAAGCCAAACGAGCTTTTCGAATCCGTGCTGAGATTTCGTCCGATACCAGCCCATTAGGGCTGATCAGACTTCCAAGATAAGTGAAGTTGTCGACGCGTTCGACCACTTTACTCCCTATCCTTAGTTCAGGTGTTGACGCAGGCCAGTCCTGAAGCAAAAACTTGCATTTAGAGGGAGAGAAGCGCATTCCAAACACTCTGGTATTGTTGCTTAGTGCTACCAAAAGACTCTGCATTTTGTCAGCGTCTTCACTAAACGGGACTATATCATCTGCGTATTCTGAGTCGATAATTGGACCTCCTGGATGGAGATCAATACCCGAGAACTCAGTCGACGAGAATGTTATTTCCATCAGTAGGTCTATGATGAAGTTAAACAAAATGGAGAAAGTGAACAGCCTTGACGGACACCACTTGAGGTTGCAAAAGTAGATGACAGTTCGCCATAAGCCCTGACTCGACTAGTAGTGTTCGAGTAAAGAGCCTTCACAAGGTTTATGTACTTCTGAGGTACGCCTCTCAATGACAGACACTGCCACAGAATCTCGTAGTCTACAGAGTCAAATGCTACCTTTAGGTCAAGAAAGACAACCATTGTCGGACGCCGATAAGTATACCTATGTTCTAGAACCTGACGAATGGTGAATATGTGGTCGATGCAGCCACGACCAGTTCTGAAGCCAGCTTGGTTCTCTCGTGGTTGCAGTTCACGAGTCTCAGTTAGGCGTCCGATAATTATCGAGGCTAGTATTTTAGATATTATATTAGTTAAACTGTTAATGATGTTACAACAGATGAATATGTCAAACTAAACTTTTTTTCATCATATCCAAAATATAAGTGTTACAAAAAAAACTGATGACAACAATCTCAACCAATCAAAATATCATATAGAGTAAGCATTAACTACTATACATATCATTTACTTAGTTTCAGTATAGTTGAGATTGTACAAGGCTATAAAGGATTTTCTTCAGTAATTGTAGTAATATAAAAATGAGACTTTGCTAATAAAATATGAAATATCTATGTATTGTTTGTTTATTTTAATTTCTACATATTGTCGTTTCTACGTATAGGTGAAATAAAGTTCACACAAATATATATATATATATATATATATATATATATATATATATATATATATATAATCTTTTGATTATCTTACATACACCGTATGGAAGATCATTTATATTTTCCTTATTGAAGCAACTAATTATGTAAAACAGAAAAAGCATATATGCTTTTCTCTATATTCAATAAACTGTAAAGTATGAAATTCTACAAAAAATAAATTATCAGAAGGGGTTTTGTGGAGATTTTAGTAATTTTATAGATGAATTCATGAGTCGATTAGAGATAGACCACCAAGTAAAACCTATTGTGGGACTCCTCATCAGTGAGCATCCACGATCCCGCCTCGCGAGATTTGAACCCAGGACTTATCAGTCTCGTGCGCAAACGCTTAACCCCTAGACCACTGAGCCAGCATCCAACAGTGTTAATGTCTAACTTCGACCAATCCACGAAATTGAGCCACCGTCTACCGCTGTCTTTAGAGAGTTACTGATAGGTCCTGGATTCGAATCTCGCGGGGCGGTATTGTGAAGACGCACTGCTGAGGAATCCCGTACTAGGACGAAACGGCCGTCTAGTGATTCCAGGCTTTCCATGATGGTATAGCTTCAATTGACTCATGAATTCAATTGCAAAAAATAAATTGTCAACTCCATAAAAATAAATTTAAAGGTGTTTATCACTAATTGCAAGGATTTTTTTATTCGAGCTGATGGGATGTATACAAAGGCTGAGATTTGAATAATTCACTATAGGCATATTTATTAGGCCAGTTTGGGTGATGAAAACTATCAATTTATACAGCGAATATCAAATTTTACTATGAATTCTTTGTAATATAAGCTTCTTGAACGAATTTTTAGATGATATCCTCGAAACTCCGTATGTTCACAGAGAGTGATTAGTTTATTCTTTAAAATATTGACAATAGGACGCTAAATATCATCATAGCTGATATTAAATATCGTGCCCGTTGAACAAGTGTATATACTGACCCAATATTCTGGTGTATAACATACTGTAGATTTTGAAGATATGTACACTAGTTTCGAGTTTCAGTGACAGCGGAAACACTAAGATGTAGGCACGTCCAGCTAATGAATTCCAAACAGAGTGTAAGATACGAAATGAGTTTTACTATTATGTTAAGTAAAATAATTTGAAATTTGAGTAACAATTTACTTGCCACTTTACATACATGTTTTATGTTAACGCCAAACCTGCAGCCGAGTTTCAGGTCAATTATTGACTAACATCACTTAGACTAATGACAAATTATTCGATAGAATTTGAACAACGGAAGAACTAGAAAGTGACATGATATTGACCGTTAACTACTGAATGATCGGTACTACAGATGAGTCGTATTTGGAACAACTCAGTAATAACTTCTCAGACTGTGAAGCTGGGTGACACGAACTTTTCTGCCGACTCTCATCAACTATCTAGCACCAAAACGTGTTGTAGGTGATGTCATCCACACTGGTAACCATTATGTATTTTAGTCAACAGTACTCAATTAACACTAAGGATTAGACGACAAACATCATATTGTTGATAAGTGAGTGATCAAACGATATAAGACAGAAATGGGATAGTGGCTAGCAGTGAAATCCAGGACCTGTGTTTCATCCTATCTGGGGTTCCTCAGCTAGATATACCAATTACTGTACCAACAGGAAATTCCAACCGACTAATATATATATTAATTAAAATTAAAATTCATCACGTTACACAATTAAATAATATAAAAGTTTATTTGTATTACAATCAGTTGTACCACTTATTTAATTAAATCAGTGCTATTTTCTTAAACATTGAAAAGTCATATATCACCGTTAATCACTACTTAAAATGTGAATAAACTTAAAGAAAGAAGAAATAAGTTAACAAAAACATTCTCTGAGGACACAAATGACAATCAACTCTTTCTTGTTACTGAACTTTGAATTTTAGTGATTCACAAGCAAAATAATAATAATAATAATAATAGTACTAATAGTACTAATAATAGTAGTTAGTAACTTACAGCTAATTCTTGATTGATGATCATTCGACAAATAACTGAATAAATTACAGATTTCGGTAATTCAAAACACATAGATAAACGATCTAATGTCATTGAATCATGTATTGCACTAAAAGTGAATAAAAAACTGCGTAATGATTCTTCTTTAATTTTAATTTCTAAATTCTGTTTTACTTTATTCGATTCAAATAATAAATCCCAAATCTAAAAGAAACAATTTTTTTCATATAAAATTAAAGGTTATTTTATATAAATTAAAATGATAATTAATATAGTATTATAATTAGAAATGGTTTAAATTATCCAGTTGTTAACATTTTTAACTGAATTTTATAACAGTCTTTGTTGACATATGTAAGTTTTATGAGAATAATCACGTTGATATTAGCCATTTAAGAATAAATCGATTATGACTAGCAATGGAATTCAGGATGTGCATTTCATCTCATTTAAGATTCAGCAGCTCGATATGTTTTTGTCCAGTAATGCTGATACCAACAAAGACTAACTTAAATTTAGTAAGGAAGAATATAAACATCGAATTCATCAGATAAGTTAGTGACTATATGGATTTAGAAGCTTAGAAGATAACAAGTTGGGCGTTTGAAGGAAAATGTATGGAGTTAGAGATTCGGTGTGAGCATCAGCATCAAGACACAGGTACATCCACGTGACGAGTCTGAAATAGAAAAAATTCGTGTCTTGATTCCATTACAAGCCACAATCCATCTATTTCATAAGAAAGACAATCACACACTTTGATCATGTGTTTACTAGTAACTGGGTTTGGGATCAACTCATGAAGGTCTAGTGAACCTTGTAGAAGTTAATGAAGTGCTGAACATGAACAGATATCACCGATGAGAACAGATGATGATGTACACATAACAATATGAATTGGTTGAAGTCAGAAATGTGAACTAGATGATGTTAACTAAATGATCTGAAGGTTGTGAGTTAATCGGATCTCATTCCTGGGATGTGGTTACTTGTTTCCAGAGTATTATTTTTTCCTGAGTGGTTCTACTGACAAAGTTTCTAATAAGATTTCAGAAAGTGGCAACATTTGCATAGATCTTTTTCCCCATATCAAATTAATTATTACGATTTTGCACTTTTAGGAGTTATTATGACCACGCAAAATAACAAATGCCTAATTCTATAAGTTATAGTCTAAATCGAGTATGATACTAGTTCAACATATAAATAATAATAAAAACACAGTCACTGTACTTTCCACAAGATCGTTTACTTAAAATCTCTGCCAATGATAAGAGCAATCAAATATACACTGAGTTCTACAGGTATTTCAGTGGGTCTCTTAACGGATATTTCGTAAATTAGCCAGCATTCATAAAAAGATTAATCCACCCAAAAAATCATACTGAATTTCTAATATTGTTACAAAATCTATATTTCCAAAGAAACTTGTGCAAATAGTTGAAGGATTTTGTTTGATGTGAGATCGGTCATTTTTATTCGGTTAAAAACTTAGATGATGATACACACTAAGTCCGGCTGAATAAAACTGACGTGAACACAGAAATGAAAAAGCTAATACGAACAACGGAAGCTACTCGTAGGAACATTATTTCAGTTATACCAAAGTTTGTAAAACGCTAACGTTTAGTTTTGTCCCTGGCCTATACCATAAACCATAAGATTTTGTTTGATGCATGGTTCATAGCAATACTCTTTTTCTATTTTAAAGTTATTGATTTAAAAGAAACCTTTTGTATTCCGTTTTTTCTACCCTAGTGCTTAGTTTAGATATAATTGTATTTTCTCCAACTGTTTTTGCGTTGGGGTTGTGTTAGCCATTTATTTATTCATGTTTCTTTGTGTTAACTTGATTTAGGAATAAATCGAAGTGTTCCAGGTGACTCGTCTTCCTTCTCGCGCACTTGTCGACCAATCAGGTGATAGGACAGTTCTCGTCTCTCTGCCCCAAGTCCGTTTAGTCTTAATTCGGACTCATGCGTCACCAGCCTCGAGGTTGAACTAGATAGTGTAATGTGTCAGTCTTAAACTAGAACAAGACAAGCTCACTTCAGTATATTATTAGGCAGACAGGTCAAAGATGTAAAAAAGTCTTACGAAATACCGAGGATTAAACATTTCATCAGTCACGAAATCCGCTTACTTTAGCGTCCATTTTGGGATTAATGATAAAATTAGTACAAGCTTTCCAATTTCCATAGCGCATAGCTTTAGCGGCAGCTAGAACATGGTCTCTTGGTGTTTCAGGTGGTCCAACTAATGCAGCACGATCATGAACACGTAAGGCAAGATGAAACGGTTTGCTGATAGGACGCCAACGTAAATCCGTTTCATGAGCTCAAAAAAGTAACAAACAAAAAATATCAACACAATTTGCATGCATATTTTATTTTTAAACGCATATGCTGAGTGAAAAAATATTAAAAACATGTGTTATGTAAAGTTAGTTACCTGCTAAATTTGGAATTTCCAAAAGCATTGCGGATACCAGATAGACACATTCTATTAGATCAATATTTATAACATATGATATGGCATTTGCAAGGCTTGTTCACGCTTCTCTTCCTCAGTAGTTTTCTCATATCTAGACTGAGTATGCAGACCTTGAGCAAGTAGTTCCCGAATACGATTAGATCCTATCATATCGGCTAAAGCATTATGTGCGTCACGAATATGGGACTGACGGAAAGCGCATAACCCTAATTGAACCATGGCACGGTTATACAGAATCTAAAACAGAGCATTAAACACTTCACAATCAGTACTGATTAAAAATTAATGATTTGTTAAAATATACATACAGATAGGATATACCATAATGTACCGAACTACTGTAGAAAGAACCGACTAGAAATCTTAATGAGGACAATGGTTATTTTTTATTCTAATTATCAATAAGTGAACGGAAATGTAATTATTGAATGATAAAATAGTGGAAAATAAATCAGTATTTATGGAATTATTCGATGTACCCTGAGGATAGGCCAAATAACCAATACGGTTTCATATGAATAGTTAGAATTCATCATATGATTCAACGTTTTAAAACAAACTGAAAAATCTTTTTTTCTAACCAGTAAACCTAGACGATTAAATAATTATCAACTGTACAGATAACTTCTGGATTGATAGATTTTTCAGTCGGATTTCGATATACTAAACTATTGACCAGTATACTTGATATAGTTGTTCGGAAGTTAGATCCCCAGAACTCACTTGGAAAGGGACCTAATTTTGTAATTTTACTTAGAAAATTTGAATTTCTTTGTTTTCGCGCCGAAAACGCTCTTCCCACCTTCATTTCGTATTTCCCACTTGGGGGAATCCTAAATGCTATTGGTCCGTTGTGTCTTTTAGTATGCTATTTAGTAACTCTCCAAGGACAGTTTTGTGCTGTGTATATACGTATTGATTTGTGTTTGTTGTGATCGCTCGTTTCTGGCTGTTTGCGGAATATACTTCCCCATTCTAAACTTGAACTTCTTCCTCTAGGTAGCGGGGCTGGGACGCATCGAATAGCTAGCTTTTTGGTCTTTGGTTACCGAGTCTTTGTTCCGTTCGCAGTCTAAGTGAACTCGTAACCGCTTCAAACTTAGCAACAGTGAACCCCAGTCAAAAATCGTCAAATAATAATTCCATGCAACGGCTTTCTTTTCCAATGGATAAAAAATAAACCGCTTATTTGATTACTTTCCCAAGGGACAGATACGTTCACAGATAAGTGAGTGTATACACAATCGATTTGATCCAGTCAAATAAACTCTAGTTCTTACTCTCCATCTTTTCTCCCAAAAAGCCAGATTCATACATAGAAAGATGCCGAACACCGTGTCACAAAAATAACCACCCTTTATATAGTAGTTATATCGAACAACAGACTTCATTAGATAGTCTCAGTATAGGCTGTACACTTATGAGATCAAAGATATTCAACATAACATATTTACTAAAGCCTAATTCAATTACAGAGTATTTTAAGCACGTATGGTGACTGACATTGTTTAACAATTTTCTCAATTATAATACATGTTCCGCTGACATTACAAAACCAATAGTAAATGTAAATGTTAAGCATTTTAAAAAGAACTTACCATGGTTGACTGATCAGCATGTTCAATTGACATTTGCAAATCAGACATAAGCATCAAGTCACGAGCTTTGAACCACTGATTATAAAGAGCTAAATGATAAATATGACAGAGAATAGCTCTAGTACGTAGTCTATCTGTTCGATCATTTAAATAAATAAATTCGCATAGTTTTTGAATGACCAAAGTGTTAGGATGAAGTCCAACTTCTTCCATACTGGAAGCTTCCACCTTGCGACCCCATTCAAAATCAAACTGTAACAACAACAAAAACAACAGTATCGTGTCAGAAATAAAATACAGGACAGGAAACTAAATACACTACTAACACAAAGAGTGAAATTAGCCTACTATAACTGTATTAGAAGCTAGCTCCTATAATTTCGTTTTTTTTCCTGTACTTCATTGATGAGTTATCAACCAAATGTTCTACTTATAGTTAATAAACTTGTTCTCTGTCCCATTACATTGAACTAGTCATTTATATGCTCTTTTACAGTGAGACTTCCTTATTGTTATTGACTTTATCACCTTGAATGAGCAGCTTTTTAACCTAAGCTAATTATCACTAATCGTGGAACCATTATATATATATTTATATTACTCACGCCTGTTACCCCTTGTGGAGGAGCATAGGCCGCCCACCAGCACTCTCCATCCAACTATGTCCTGGACGTTTCTTTTCATATCTGCTTCCAAATCTCGGCGCAGTGTTTTTCGGCCTTCCTCTTTTCCGTTTCCTTTCAGCACTCTAAATAAGCGCTTGCATCGTGGTGCAGTTTGGCGATTTCTGCAATGTATGTGCTATCCACTTTCAGCGTATTTTACGGCTGCGAAACGCGGCCATTATCATCTAATAATGAGGTTAGACGCAGGGTATTAGGGAATAATGGTAAATCAGTTAATGAGGTTGCGAATCTTCATCGACTGAGATGGTTGGGCCACGTGTTGCGTATGCCTGAACACCGATTGCCACGACATGCAATGCTAACCGGTGTTGGGGATGGTTGCAAGAAAGTTAGGGGCAGACAAACCAAAACGTGGCATCAGTCATTGAAGTCTTAGCCAGGTTGGTGGATGCAGATTACTTGGTTGGGGTCCGCAGGACTATCGTAACCAATGGTTGGAGACTGGATAACATGGCTCAGGAATGATCACAATGACGTTCGTGTTTACACTCTTAGTCTTCCCTTAAATCGTGAGACTAAAATTCCCTTACATCTTTTTTTCTACAAACTAATTCATCCTTCCTGTACTATATCCTTATATGCAATCCTTCTTTTATATATTACCACCTCTGAATTAACTACTTCTATGAATTCGGTGTTGATCTAATTGTGCTAATGAGGTATGGCAACTTGGACCGATGCATGTATGTGCTTGGTCATACGTTGTAGCTGACTGACTGACTGATTGAACTTCTTTTCCTAATTTTCTCCTCAGCTGGAAGCTGGTTTGTCCTCTCCCATACTAGACTGTTGCTGATGCTATCCGGTCAACGGATATTGAGTATCCTGCGTAGACAACTGTTTATAAATATTTGTACATGTTTGATAATGGTTGTAGTAGTTCTCCAAGTTTCTGCTTCATATAATATAACTAACTGTTTTGATGTTCTTATTGAAGATTATGACTTTTATGTTGGCTGACAGTTTTTAGTTCCATATGTTCTTCAACTATAGGAATGTTGTCCTTGCTCTTCCAATCATCGCCTATACGTCTCCATCAGATCCTCCACGGTCATCGGAGATACTACTCAGATACGTGAAACTTTCCCCCCTTCCAGAGTTTCTCCATCAAGTGTGATTGCCTTGGTGTTCTCTATGTTATATTTGAGGATCTTGCTTTTTCCTTTGTGTATGTTGAGGCCTACTTCTGTAGAGGCTACTGATACTAGTGGTCTTCAGCAGCATTTGTTCGTGTGTATGGGATAGAAGGATCAGGTCATCTGCGAAGTTCGAATCTTCTAGTTGATTCCGAGATGTCCATTGTATTATGTGCTACCTGTCAGATGTCGAGGTTTTCATAATCCAGTCGACCACCAGAAGAGGAAGCGGGAGAGTTAACAGACTTATCTGACTCCGGTCTTCACTAGGAATGAATCTGTCAGCTGTTCTCCACGCACGAATTTGCAGTGTAGTACGTTGTATAAATTCCAGATGTTGACGCTCTTCTCAGGTACATCATAGTGTCGAAGAATGTTCCACAAGGTCCTACTGTCCACGCTGTCAAAAGCCTTCCCATAGTCAATGAAGTTGATGTAGTGTTGAGTTCCACTCAAACGATTGTTCAACGATGATCCATAGCGTCGTAATTTGGTCTGTGCTCTTGATCTGTCTGATGGCCATCCCGATTTCTTCCGTCTTTGGTGGAGTGACATATACAAGAAGGTCTGTAGGTGCTGCTTCAATGTCCGGTTGGTTTAATGGAGGCAGGTATATTCAGGACTCCCTCGAAGTATTCCGTCAATCTGTTCGTCTGTTCTTGATATATATATATATATATATATATATATATATATATATATATATATATATATATATATATATACTAGAAGTCAAGCGAGTCTTCTGACTTTATTCAACATAACGTGCCTTATACCAGTTTCTAGATTTACCGAAACAACGGATGCAAGAGTTGATTAGGTCAGAAATATATGAATAACAGGTGAATTTACAACAAATAATTAATCTTTAGGTATCAATACCAAGGTTTGAAAGTTGATAAATTCAAATGAATTAAGCATCAAATAGAAAGTTAATGGCAAAATAACGATATATTTGTGATATCACATTGAGTAGAAGTTCGAATTTTTGAAAACTCGTGACTTAATGTAACCCATTTCTTTAGGGTGAGTAAATAAATAACCGAATTAAATTAATACAAGTTTAAATAGTACAAACGAAAAAGGCTGAATATTCAATGCAATCAAAATCAAAAAATAATCCGTCTGTGTTGAAGTCACATTGCAGATAGTGAACACAATAGCAACACCATTCAAGTCCCAACGTGTAACAACACAAAAATTACCGACTTAACATGACCGACTATGTAATCTGCCAATAAGAAAACAGTTTGTTTAACCGATGAAACACAAAGCGAATAAATTCTAGTTACTGGCAAGTAGTATAGTTATAACAAGCCAGTTTTCTACCAGTGAATCTACATAAGGGTTGCTAATCTACATACTACAGATCATGTTAGTTAACAACGACAGCCCAATCAAGATTATTTGTAGTAAACAAAGTAACAAAAGGCAGTTTGAATCTACAAAAGTTCGAATTTAATATTTAGTAGTGAAAAAAAGTACTTATCCTCACTTTATAGTACATGTGTTCCAGTTTATGAAGATAAGCAGCACAGAGTGCATCTGAAGGATATTCTTTCTTTTCCAAATAGGCACATAAACGATCAATAATATTACAGACTCTTCGTTCATCTCGAAGTCTATACAATTTAAAATACAAAGAAAGGACAACGACAATACTTTATTACGAATGCGAAAAAATTCAAGAGTAAAGGATAGAATTATATCACAAATACCTGAACAATAAATTTGATAAATGAAATTAGGAATATTAATAACAGACAAATCGTATTATCGCATCATATTGTTATGAAAATGAAGCGGTAGGTTCAATCCATTATTTTACAGTGGTCGTCAAAATTCTCTTTTTAAGTTTTTTGACATATGTTTATCCTGTGATATTTGTCAAGTGAACAATCTTTTGTATTTCTACTTTAAAATTAAGCTCGAAGAAAGCTGGAGGAATCACAACATGGAATCAGTTCATGAAGATATTGGCTATTGAACGGAGCCATGTATATATAGATCTAGAATACCCGGTCGGAGTCCACTTGATTATAGTAGCCAACGGTTGGAGACCTTGAATAACATGGTTAGAAATCGTTTGCAGTGGTGCAGGTCCATTCACCCTTTATCTACCGCCTAAGAACTAAGTCCTGAAATCCACTTAAATCTATTTTTATCATCTTTTCCACTGATACAGTTAATACTTCGATTACCTTGGGATTACTCTTAATAATAATATCTTGCTGTGCTAATATAGGATGGGGACTTGAACCGTTCCGCATCGGTTAAATTCTATTTCGCACATGACTGATTGATTTCCACCTTATACGCTACCTTTATTTATGTCACCCCTTGAATACTACATAACCTTCGAAAACGTTTTCCGACTAGATTTTAGTATCTTTGTTTGTATGTAACAATATTCCAATTTATTACAGACTACGTAATGTGTAAATTAACCGAATACAGTTGTCTTGAGTGTTGTTAGAGGTGTGAGGGTGGTTTCCACTTCCCGGTTGCTCACACTGTGGAAGGGTTCTTCTAGACGTACCTGAAAGGTAAATTGGGTTAGAGGTGGTCTTGGCGACCTGAGAGCGCAACCGCAGTGCCCAAACGACAACTGCTTGAGGTCTGTCACACACTTTTCTGTGGTTAATCTTTGTGTTAGTTCCGTACTTGTCGGGACCTGACGGACGGACGGAAATCCGTGGGATAAGGGGAGGTATGTATTTTCTGGAGTCGATCTTTCCTAACCCCACACTTCCTTGTGGGAAGGCAGCATCGCTGTTATGCTGGTTGTTTGAGGGAAAAAAACCTATTGCCATCACACCTCTGTACTGTCAGCAGTACGACTTCACCCTCGGACCTTGGGTACCGTTGCACAGTTTTTAAAACATGACGTGAAAAACAAGTAATTTACTACGCTAAACTAAAAGTATCGACAATAAGATTATGTATAATATTTAAAATTGAACATTTATAAAGTAATTCGTTGCCAATAGAATAATATATTGAAATACTGTGAAACACTGCTCCTAAACTATTTAAGAATTAAAAAATTACCATTCAGAAATTTTATCAAATTCTATTTCTTCATCCAATTTGTACATGTTAATTTTAAATAGAAATTAATCGGTATAAGGGAAAATCGTCATCGTCCTAGCCTGTGCTCCATGTGATAGCGAAGATTTTAGTTATTCAGGGAGTGAATGACCTACAAAAATAATATTTTCCGGTCACGTTTGTGACAACTGATCAGTTTCTGTTAACATCTTATATATAGGGACACTGTGGTGCGTGCTACTTATATTGACATAAGTAGTACATTATGCGAGTCAGGAATGTAATGTCTGGCAGCAGAAGATGAGGGAAGATCAAGAAAGCAAGAGCGGGTACATAACGCAATTTGTATGAAAATGTAAGAACAATGAAGTCTGAGGCATTTTGAGATAATTGGTGGACATTTTACAAATAACGATTTAACATATAGTTCTCAGATTTTATTGAGATGCTCTGTAATTTTGTGTCAAATACATTTGGTTGTCCCCACCCGTGTTCTGTTCACTACAACACAAAGAAATGGTCTGAGAATAAATATAAATACGTTTATTTACTAAACTAAGTAGTCTGTCTCATAGGTATGAAAATCAGATCGGTAGAGTGAATATCAAAGTAACTAAAAAATACACTGAAAAACCAATCACTTGACGTCATCAAATTACTTTAAAAAACTGTGACTGGTGTAAATGAATACAGTATAATAAACATTTCCTAAGATAATTATTAGTTAACTTGAATTTATAACTTTTTGCGAACTGTTGAAAAGAGAGAAAATTGAATTACCTTTCAACATATTCTGATTCATGGCCGTTGGCATTTTGCAGAACTTTGAAACATTCAACATCTAAAAGACCCACCACAGTCAGAATAGATGCTTTGATACGGTACGGTTCATGCTATTATTTTTGAGGGATTAAGGAAAATAATAACAATCGAATACATGTAATGAAATCATTTCAGAGTTTTCGTCGCAGAATGAATATTTTATTCGGTACCATTAAAAACTTTATCTTAGGCTGGGTCACAAATTCGGAAATCATAACATTCATAGTTTTAAGCACCACACGAATTTAGATTCGAGTTAGAATTATATGATTCATACTATTTCAAAATGTAACCGATTTCAGCTGTAGCTTGTGTGAAATCGACATCGTTGGACTCGGATAGATATTGATTAGTATCAATGGATGATGATGGCAGTGTACATAAAAGTAACTGTAGCTTAAAAATGTGGATCAATAGACTTTTAAATTGCGAGATGTTGTAAATCTGAAAGGTCCTCCGTTTAGTCTTGTGTGTGAAAAAGTGTTTGTTACTGAAAAGTCCTAAAGTATGACGAAGAAGTATAGTATTTCGCTGTTTTCTATAGTTTCTCAGCTAGTATCAGTGTATAATGGTGGCGCAGTGGGGCTAGGATGTTGGTTTTTAGCCAATAAGTCACCATTTCGAACACAGCTCTATCTACCTTGATTAGAACAACCAGGTAGTATCGCTAGCCCCACATTTAGAGCGTAGCTCAAAGCCAAATATATAAATCTGTACCTGTACCCTGTAACAATTTTTTTTAAATTTAAAACAGTCTAACGAATACGAAGTTAAATTACCCTCATTTACTTTGATTAATATACTTAGCAATACTGTATTCTAATTTCTAATAAATTTACCCATCCTAAAGTTCAATAAGAAAATCTCTAAAGCAGAGCTACATCGTATAAACAAAAAATTGTCGGTATAATTTCAACTGATTCAGTCAATGTTTCTAAAAAGTAATTCAGAAGAGACGGGTCAGTTTATTACATGACACAATGGTGTGAAAATACGCTATATAGAACTTTATCTATTAGTCCACCAAGACTCCTTGATTGGGGTCCCAGAAATGGTGAAATTTAGGGGCTAGAGATTTTGCCAGACAAGGCTCAGAATGGAAGCCAATGGTAGTCCTGTTGTGATTTTCCAGTACTTTCTTCATAAAAGTGATATGAATTTACCTGAACGAAAAGAAAAGTCTTTCTTGGTTGTATTTTAAACTTGTAGGAAGTTATTACCTAGACTATTGAACACAGAGTCTTAGCTTGGCCAAAGTCAAAACAAGTTTGATAAACTTCATCTGTTAAGAACAATAACTGCAGCACAGAAAAAAAGTGATTCAACAAAAATTAATATCGTTTATGAAACATGGGAGATTGTGGTCGGTGAATAAACAATGCATAGTCAGACAAGGTCGAACAGAGACAAGGTGGTAGTGGGCATTTCACTTTGCCATTATTGGTGGATTTGTTTATCGATCACCCCTTACAAAACTGGACAATATTTTCTATTATATAATGATTATCGTTAACAGAAGGGGTTTGTGGAGATTTTAGAAATTTTCACAGATTGAAATCATGAGTCAGTTGAAGCTAGACCATCATTGAAAACCTGGAAGCACTGGACGGCCGTTTCGTCCTAGTATGGGACTCCTCAGCAGCGCGCCAGTAGGTCCTGGGTTCGAATCCCGCGGGGTGCGGGATCGTGGATGCGCACTGCTGAGGAGTCCCATACTAGGACGAAACGGCCGTCCAGTGCTTCCAGGTTTTCGATGGTGGTCTAGCTTCAACTGACTCATGATTTCAATCTGTGAAGATTATCGTTAATTTTACTTTTTTATTTTTGGTTGTAATTCCCTCCTGTTTTTATTTTATTTCTTCACAATTTCATAGCCTTATTTGTTTGGCGCATACTCGATCCTGGTGTATTAAATAAAAAAATTTTAGAGAAAAATCGACTTTCATATTAGAACTTAGATGTTTAGATGTTGCAAATGCAATTAAACAAAATACATCAAAACGTACCTCAAATGATTCATCATCATTAGAATCTGATGCAATCAATTGAATATTTATTTCATTTAACAGATCAAATAAACGATCGAATGCATTAAGAGTTCTAAAAATCAGAAGAAAAGTAGGTGTATATGAACAAACAAGAAATGAAGACAATTAGTTTGTTCAAATTATTGTTGCTTATTTAACCAACAGTTTTATAAACAGGGAGGGGAATATATCTTTACATAATGACGATATTCAAGAATCGGCACATGAATAACTTTGATTTGATTGATAGTCTATTAATGATAGGAGTCTTTATGAATGTCTCTCAAACTATTGCTAGTCAATATTTAAAAGATACTAAACTTATTGCGGAAAACAGCAAGTTAGCAGTCGGGTTAATCAGTTCTGTTCAAAATTCTTAAGTTACAAATTCTGTTAAATTTACCATAATCTAGCTTGTTGATTTGGATATGTCAGGTGGAAATGATCTGTGATTGGTTAGTGGGCAGACAGACAAGAACTAAGCATACAGACTATTGTTAAAAGACGGATTTCACTGTATGGTGCTATACTTTACTCCGGATTTTACAATGTATTAATATAGTTATTTCACCTCATGATATCTTGTTTTCAGTGGCTAATCGCAATTGTGTATCTATGTATCACACAATCCGGTGTAGAGGTCTTGTAGAGCAAACCATTGGGCAGAAAGTACGATTACTTAGTGAAACTACAAAATGTTGGTGCAATATGTACACCTAGTTATCAGTCATCCATTTGAATCATGTTGTGTATTTTGTAATCTAAGTTAGTTTTAGACTGTCTTTTTTCCTTTCACTTCCAAACTAATTGTTCTGCATACACCGCGCTTTTTGATCTTCTAGAACTCTTCATTTTGGCCGTCAACTGTAGCAACCTCCACGCGACTTTCCGCTGCATACTACGCATAAACAATCTTCTAAGTAACCTTCACTACAGTCTAATCGTCTAGTGCATCAAGTTGTAGTATCCCGCATGGTGTATCGATCGAGTGATTAATTTACTATCTAGTCTAGTGTTATTGTATTACCGTATTACACAACAGATTTTTAGGCAAAATGATCTTTAGTAACAATTTTCTGGTATCAATACTTTTTAAGTTGAAGTAAAAGGTTTCTAACGAACAAATTTTGGATTTGACCTTACATCATTCATCTACTTTGCTGTGAGCAGCTGAATAGTGACAAATTATGAACCTTCACAAAATGCGCGGATGAAAGAGCTGAATAAATTAGCTTGTACTCAGTAATTAATTCACAGTTGTATTATAAACCCATAAAAACTATTCAAATAGCGTCTTTATCTTATTGTGCTAACAAAAACAGACTGAAAGCATACCGGTCGAATAAGCTGGAGTTCATACAATCATGCTTTTTGTCATAATCGAACAATACGCTAATAAAAGCGAATAGTACTTTAGCGTGTAAACCATGAGATAGATTACACTCCTCTGCAAAGAAAGCAAATGAAAAGAAATATGGAGAACAGTGGTTTTAACATGGAAAAAAACAAAGACAACAATGTAAGTGTTAAATCTAACTAAATTAAACATTAAGTGCAATATTATGTATGAAACAGTTTGTATCTTAGAGGAAAGTCAGATGAGAATAAAATTAGTTTTCTTTTTATTATCATTTCGTAAGTGTTAAGCCGAAAGAGAGAACTATATTTTGGTTTACCAAGAACCACAATCATTACTTTAATCCAGAAATGATATACAATTCAGATCGTTTCTGATAAGAGTATGATTTCATACTGGTGACCGATTGACCTCTTCTGTGTGTTTATACATTGTCTATATCAATGTGTTTGGTGACCGTCAATCCCGATATTTTCGAATAACTCCAAAATTAAAGGACAAAAGGACTTTAAGATCTTTTTTAAAGCCTTTTTACGTTTTATTGGCATGACTTTACAATAAAAAGACTGCAAAACATTATTACAGACTTGCTAATTACTAATAAATTTGAATGCATAGCAAATGTTTTCAATGCAGTAGTAGTATGCATAGAATTTCATAAAACTGAAAAAAAAACTTTTTAAATACCTCTTCGGGAGAAAAAAATAGACTTACACATTTTATACAATAGACTGACTATGTGAAAAACATAAATCAACTATAACACTATTGATGATTGTTAGAGTCATAGTGTTTTTGATACTTCGGGCTGAAAAATTGTTGAGAAACCTAGACTAATAATAATATAAACATCATAATTGTTGGGGAGATCCAGAAAACTCCTCGAAAAAAAGTCAAGAAAGGCTCTGAAAACACGGAGAAACATCTTATCCAATCAGCGTTCACTAGAAGTTTTGCCAGAAATATCTAGAAGTTGGAAATTCACTTTCGAGTTTCTGATTGGATGGTCACTATACTGCTATTATGTTTGGTAGCATTTTAGAATTTTCGGGAAAACCCAAAGACATCTAAAATATTATAAAAACCCTATATTTTCTGTCAGTAAATGAACCTTCGGAGTAAAGTTTTTCTTGCATATTTTGAGCCTTTTCTCTCGTGTTCAAGTTGCTGTGAAGTTCTAGCTTGGGGGTTACTAGAAGAGCTTAGAAACCGAATAGTGTTCAATTAGCAAGACTTATCGATAACCGTTAAGCTATTTAATGACTATGTGAACTCAGTAGCTCGGTGGATGATAAGTTAGTACATGAACTGGGAGGTACTAGGTTTGAGTTTCAATGTGAACATTGGCACTAGGATCTAAATATATCCAACTGACAATCACTGGCTAGAACGAAACGCGCATCCTAGATTCTAACAGTAAATACAATCTATCTATTTTAACTATATTAACTACTGTATGTCAGTGGGAAACTCACTGCCGGTTGTTTTTGAAAAGAAATATAAGGTGAAAAAACAACCTTTCTAAAGACTTACTAATTTTTTCTTCAACTTGCATAAGTAACACAATTTGATCACTGGTACTTGCACCTTTTTTACCACGACTTGCCAAAATTTCTGTCATTTTCTTAACTACGACATCAAAATTAATTTCTTGTCCTTTTTCAAAGGCTTGAACTTGAATTTCCGGTCGTCCGTAAGAATCGATTGTAGTCCATGTTCCATCTTCTATATCAGATGAAGCTCTTAATTGTTTTTTAGTTGATCGATCTTTTGCAATTTTCTTAATTTTCGTTTTATCCTAATAAATAATAAGCAGAATAATTCTTAGAGTATCAGTGATGTGATACAATTCAACAAGATTATCGCAAATAAAAATAAAAAATTAGGTTTGAAACAAAGAGTTCCGTGATTCCAGCCACTTTATTACCGAATTGACTGATATAATTGATTTCACTTAAAGCAATCGAATTAAATAAATACCCACAATTTGTTTTCATTTACCACGGGTGTAACTAATCAAACATATAGTGGTTCAATTAATGACATTAAGTAACACTGAGTTATTCATCATAACAGTACTATTGGAAAGAGTAGGTTCTTCAGAAGAAAAACGTTCTTAAATTAAGTTATTAGAGTTCGTAATGCTACGCCAGTGTTTATCATCAATGGCCTATTTGATTATCTGATAGCATATGTAGTAACCTAAAGAATATAACCAGGTTGGTTCATATGTATATTTTGCCTGATTCACACTTCAAATAATCACAATGTATGCATATTAGTTGAAAATAAATGAACACTTGATATATGTATTGCGCGCTCTGATGACTTTCTATGATCACATCGTCTATGATCCTTTGGTATCAAATTAATTTGCCTAAGCAAGACCACGACATGTAATTCCAGCAACTTATGAATCATATAAATTACAACACTAAAAACCAAAACTCCAATACAATAAAAAGATAAATGTATTGAAAGGGTATTTAAAATATCTACTTGAAACCTTCATCTTACCTTTTTATCATCCGAAGTACTTTTTAAAAAGTATACCGAAGGATCTTTACAACGATCCAAATTGATATCAATACTGCTAGTACTTGAACTATCATCATCAGAAAAATCATCACTATCACTATCATCCATATCATCGTCATCGTCCTCTGAATCAGATGCAATCGACTTTCGTGTTGATTTCTTGACAGTGGAAGTAGGTAAAGTTCCAGGAACCTAGTAAAGAGAAAATGATAGCAGCAAATAAAACAAGGAAATATGCAACCTGATACGATCTGAGTGCTTAGAACACTGAATCATTGATTTACAATGATAGTTTGAAAAAAACTGAAAATATACTTGCCTTTGTCGGTGAAGGAGCTGTTTCCTGTTCATCAGCTTCGGTATCTAAAGCATAAAAATAAATGAACTACGTCAAAAAATGGATGAAAATACCAGAAATCCCAGGTTCTTCATCTACATAATTTTCTGAATTCTGAACATATATAGCATGAGTTTTATAATAAATAAACCTACTTCACGAAAGTCGCGAATATTTGCTTCAAACAGTCGTGTATATTTCTTCACACGTTGTTTTAACGTGGCAAGTGATTTAACTGCACTCTTGTTCATCTCTTTTTTCTTTTCCCACGAATCGTTAACAAAATCTTCAAGCTCTGCTATACAGCGAACATAAAACGGTGGCACTCCATCGAAATCATTCATTTGAACAGATTTCTCGTACACTTTTACCAAGTTTTGAAAATCTGTATTCATTTAGATCAAAAAGCGTCTAAATATATCATTCTTTTTACATACCAATGATTACATTTGACATATCCTTAATTTTCTTATGATTGTTCAAGTTCTTTATTATACTTTGCATTTCTTCACATCTGTGAATTGGTTCACATTAAAAACAACTAGTGTATTGACATACCGTTTATTCCGACCACTTTTAACAATACGTTTAATATCTTCTTCATCACTAGACAAATGTAAAGGGCGTGACTCGATACGTCTAACTGGCTCCTCTTCCCGATCACTGTCAGAAGAACTGAATATATCTGCATACATTCTTTAAACTAAATACATAAGGAGTAGAGAAATAGTGTAAATAATTTGACTAAGTAATGAGTTTGTGAGTAAAATCCGAACAGAATAAAACTAAAACCCAATAATGCAATTCAGTATCACGTATAGTATTGAGTCACACCTATTGTCACTTGTTCACAGTCTAACCAACACAAAATAAAGTGAGTCCTATTAAAATACTATCCGAAATCCTACAAAGTACTAGGGATCGATACTAATTTATTGTAAACGAATTAAAGTACAGTTATTTTGCTAGCAAAGACACAAGAACTTGAGTAGAGCTTTTACCATTCAAGTCTAACAAGCACACTGATTAACGTCTAAAGCTATGTCCAGGCAACCGTTAGTTTCTAATAAGTACCGACTTCAGGTACAAAGAGAGCCATTATTTGACCCGGGGACTTCTAGCATCTAGATAAAGGGGGCATAATCCACAGTGCTATCAGCCCTTGATGAACATAGTCAAGAATTAACCGTCGTTGCACCTTGACCTCAACTCTGCGACTGACTCGGTTCACCATCTGGACCAAAGATTATATCAACCTGTTGGAGGTTCTGTATTCAAACACTTTTGGTTGTATCAGATCATATGGTAAACTGACATTTAAGTTGGTTTTGTCGGCTATTGTACGTCGGGTTTTTTTATTATCTATTCTTTCATTTAATAGTTACCATAGATATCCCCTTCTTACTCTTATGGTCTGCTTTCAAACCATCGAAAAATGGCAGTAATTTAACTTCGTATTTGTTAGACTGTTTTAAATTAAAAAAATTGTTACAGGGTACAGGTACAGATTTATATATTTGGCTTTGAGCTACGCTCTAAATGTGGGGCTAGCGATACTACCTGGTTGTTCTAATCAAGGTAGATAGAGCTGTGTTCGAAATGGTGACTTATTGGCTAAAAACCAACATCCTAGCCCACTGCGCCACCATTATACACTGATACTAGCTGAGAAACTATAGAAAACAGCGAAATACTATACTTCTTCGTCATACTTTAGGACTTTTCAGTAACAAACACTTTTTCACACACAAGACTAAACGGAGGACCGGGAAGTGGAAACCACCCTCACACCTCTAACAACACTCGAGACAACTGTATTCGGTCAATTTACACATTACGTAGTCTGTAATAAATTTTTTCATAAGTAGATAGTTTATCATGGCAGCAAGAAGTCTATCCGAGCTACTGCCAGCAAGAAGTCTGGTGTGAGTGAAACAATCTGAGAGGATGACGGAACGCCAATCACTAACATCAACCGACGTCTTGGACGATGGACAAAATTCTTCGACTGGCAGTTCAACTGGCCTGCTGCTCCGGCAACACCGGTCAGACTGTCCTGACCTCCATGGCCGGTGACGACTGACCCACCAAATGAGGCGAAGTCCGCAAGGAACTCCAAATATTGAAGCGCTATAAATCACCTGGCCCAGATGACTTATCTCCGGCTCTTTTCAAAGATGTTGGTGACTTTCTGACTTCGGAATTTTCTGCAATGAAGTACAGAAACTCACACACTTCCTATCTTGATTGCCCACATTTTACAGTTATAGACTACAAAACGAGTTGCTGCACACTAAACTCACCTTTTTATATCTGGTCGACATTCTCACCTACCCCAAAATTTGGATTCCAATGGTCAAATAAGATCAAAGGATAAACAGACATCATCCTCCAATGAGAAACATTTTATTGAGACTGATCATAATGTTGACATCAAGTCCGCACTCGTAGTGTTATAAAAAAGCCTTCAAGGACGTATACTAAGGTTTATTGAAGCCTTGGCTATACGGAAATTGAAACCACCTTTATGCGTTCAAAAACAATTTGACCTTACACTTAATCCACCCTAGTAGTACTGATTTATTATCGAGAGTACACAAAAACAAATGTGATTACCACTCTCGATAATAAATCAGTACTACTAGGGTGGATTAAGTGTAAGGTCAAATTGTTTTTGAACGCATAAAGGTGGTTTCAATTTCCGTATAGCCAAGGCTTCAATAAACCTTAGTATACGTCCTTGAAGGCTTTTTTATAACACTACGAGTGCGGACTTGATGTCAACATTATGATCAGTCTCAATAAAATGTTTCTCATTGGAGGATGATGTCTGTTTATCCTTTGATCTTATTTGACCATTGGAATCCAAATTTTGGGGTAGGTGAGAATGTCGACCAGATATAAAAAGGTGAGTTTAGTGTGCAGCAACTCGTTTTGTAGTCTATAACTGTAAAATGTGGGCAATCAAGATAGGAAGTGTGTGAGTTTCTGTACTTCATTGCAAAAAATTCCGAAGTATTACTCGCGAATGGTGGAACCTTTAAGAGAATAATTGTGGGGTTAATATAAGGTACTAGGCAGAGGCGATAAAGTGGTTATTAGCCAAGGCTGTGCAGACAAGAGCTACATGTTTAGCGACCGTCTGATTATACGCGTAAAGTTAGCTGACAAAGGGATGGGTAGATCACTGCTTCAAATTATTTTACAAAGTCACTTGATGCCAGTATGAAGCATCAATATGTTTAAAATACCTCATCAGGATTAACATGTTAATCATAATTGGCGTTTGAATACCTTTAGTGAAATGGTACCAAAACCAGTAGCAACGATTCAGTTAGGCTTACTTTTTGTCTTCCTTTAATCCTTGAGTTGTCACTCCACATTTCCTTTAAGCTCAATTAATTCCTGGTTTTCCAATGCCGTTAATATCATTTCTACCACTTTCTTTTTAATCTCGTCAGTTTTATCTCACTGAGGTATGGTGTACCGGATTGTACTAATATGCTGGTATCAGGCCACACACTGCCTTTGATTGAATAAAGAATTCAGAAAAATGTTGAATTCTGATAGCTGGAATTTAATTACTTAGACCATTGGGGTTATTCAAAAGGGATTATAGAAGACATTGAGCTACGAAGTTGATTAAACTGGGACCGAACTCCTGTATCTTAATAACAAATCAATTTTATTGAGACCACGAACCGACCTTAGTTGGATAATAGTTGTCTAACCACTCATGCTTTTAGTACAGTATTTCAATATTTATCAACTTTTCTACGTTAGAGATTACTTGTTATTGGGATTAGATGATTTCACATGGAAAGCTTATGGTATCCCTCTCGAAATGCTCACACGGCCACGTGTGTACAGCTACTGTTAGAGAAGTCCTATGCTGTTCTTTCTCGCGGTGGGGGTATTGTTTAACGAAATTGAGAGTACGAAAAGCGACTGTTCGGAGACTTAACCGGTTTGGTGGACACAGAGAGTCCACCTAGGGGAGTTGGAAAACCCTGATTTCAAACCAATGGTGCGCAAAGGCTCCAGGATGCTGAGAGAACAAATGGCGTATGAATCTACTGTTAGTCATTGGCTACCATGGGACTGCATTTCCTAACTTTGTTCCACTGCCCTGTGGACTAAACCTCTAAGTCGAGGATCGGGGAGTTGCCTTCTAAGATAACCACCTGCTTCAGTTTAGGTGCCCATGCAATATTCCAGCTATCATAAAAAGCGAATCATTTGTGTACGCATATCTGTTTGGTGCCTCCTTGTACTAATGTGTATGTATCTAGAAGACTGCCGTTAGTTCTGGAGTACATGTTTAGGCTCCGATCATGCTCTAATACGAGCACGCATTAGCTTGCACCTCGTTGGATGCAGAAAAACTACATTAAGACCCATTATAGTTGAGCTCAGTGACGAGAAAGCCAAAAGACAATGATAGTTTTTTCTTGACTTGAAAGCAGTATTGGATTCTGTAGACAAAGAGGTTCTGTGGCAGTGTCTGTCATTGAAAGGTGTACCTCAGAAGTACATCAACATTGTGAAGGCTCTTCACTCGAACACTACTAGTCGAGTAAGGGCTTATGGAGAACTGTCATCTGATTTTGCAACCTTAAGTGCTGTCCGGCAAGGCTATCCACTATCTCCATTTCCATTTAATTTCATCATAGACCTACTGATGGAAATAACGTCCTTGTCGATTGGATTTTCAGCAATTGATCTTCTAGGAGGTCCATTTACCGACTTAGAATACGCAGATGACATAGTCTTGTTTGATGAAGACGCTGATAAAGTGCCGTCTTTTTGCAGCACTAAGCAATAATGCCAGGATGTTTGGGGTGCGTTTCTCTCCCTCTAAATGCAAATCGTCGCCTCAGGACTTACCTATGTCAACACCTGAAGTAGTCGAATGCGTCGACATTTGATCAGCCCAATGGGTTGGTTTCTGACGAAATCTCTGCACGGATTCAAAAAACTCATCTGGTTTTTGCTAACTCATGTCATTTATGGAGAAGGCGAAGTATCCAACTATCAATAAAAGGACGAGTATACTGAGCAGCAGTTCGTTCTATTCTACTTTACGGTTGCGAAACGTGACCATTAAGGATAGACAATACTCATAGGTTACTAGTATTTGATCACAGATGTCTTATAAATAGTGCCAGCATCTGCTGGGATCACCGGGTAAGTAGTGGTGTGATTAGACACTGTATGAGGGAATGATGGTAAACCAGTTGGTGAGGTTGTGAATCTACATCGACTGAGATGGTCGGACCACGCATGCCCAACCACCGACTACCGCGGCGCGCAATGTTGACTAGTATTGAAGACGGTTGGAAGAAACTTTAGTCAGTCAGTCAACAACCTAGAACTTCGTACGTATGTACATCAGCTCGAGTTGCCATACCACATTAGCAGACAGATACAATTGTCGATTCAAATCCCACAGTGGTAGACGCAGTAAGAGTATAGGCAGTAATCGGAAACATTGGGGTTTGAAGATGTTATTTAAGGAGTGTAATCTAGTAGAAGTTAGGGGCGGTCAAACCAAAAGGTGGCATCAGTCATTGAAGTCACTAACTTCTGGTCTGAGCCATGTTGGTAGGTGCAAACTAATTGGTTAGAGTCCGCACGACTATCGTAACCAATGGTTGGAGACTCTGGATGACATGGCTCAGGAATGATCACAATGACGTTGGTGTTTGCACCGACTTCCCTAAAATCGTGAGATTGAAATTACTTTATACCTTTCTTTTAATGGTAGTCTAGCCTAGATTGACTCGTGAATCCAACTTTAAAAATATGTAAAAAGGTGCTTATCAAGCTACGTTTTGAATAATTCTGGCTTGTACTAGGGAGATCTGATAAAATGTTATTGGAATCGTCCTACTTTTACTTATCAGCACTTTTAAAAATGGAAATTTTCGAAAGATTGATCGTGCTTTAGACTTAGAAGACGAAGTAAATACGCATATACCATATGATCAAGATTCAGTTTTGTTTGTCACTACGAACTTTATATAGGAAGCGTAACCCTTATCACGAGTTTGGGTAACCAGTGACTCCATGAACTGATATTACCTCATGGTTAGAAAAGTCTAGATTTTTTTCTATTTGATGGCAATAAGACACAACTACACTAAGTTTGGAAGAGTTATGAGTACAATAAAAGAGATAATAAGCAAAAGCAACCTAAAAAAAACACATCACAAAAAATAAGATATTTTTCTTGTTACTATTTTATGGGGACTTATTGTTATGAAACCTCATTCATCCAGGTTCACCCAATTAGAATTACACACAACACTATAAAAACACTACTC